TATTGCGAAGAAGAGCTCAGCCAACAAAGCTGTGGTGGAAGCTCGCCGCGAGATGCTGGACGAGTGGCGCAGGTGGCGCGAAGAAGTTACACAGAGGCTACGTGACGAGGGTGCCGACCTTGAGCTGGCATCTCTCAAGGGGGAAACGCCTGGTCAAGCGGATGATGGACATCAGGAAGAGATTGAGGAAATCGTAGAGGAGATTATCGACGAGACCGAAGAGGTTGTCAGTTAGGCAGTCAGATGAGTAGAACCGAGTTGCGTGACAGCAGTTTCAACCAGCATGCTAGGAAAACATTGCTCCCGGCATATGGATAAGAACGGTTTCCAAGCTCACATCCACTTACATCCGCCTTCTCTAACGTGCCCCTTGAATGGCGTTGCCTGCTTGTTTTTCGGAGATCCGACCATGGTAGAATCAGGACTTACTTGCGTTCTACTCCGAGTGTGTGTGTGATAGTGTAACAATGTGCACACTTAGCTTCAACGCAATGTCTGCAGGAGCTACAACTTGAAGCAAGGCCTAAGCTGTCGTTTTAGCGTCTGCGTCTGTCTTTGCCTCGTTGCTGGTCCGCAGCTCGGGCGTCGCTCTTTGCTTTGATGCAATCTAACGGCTTCCCGGCTTTTCCTTTGTGAGACAACGCAGTAGTGATCTGTACATGGGCGAGGTAAGTAGCGACCAAGTGATTTCCGTCAATCGAGGCTTGCACTGATATAAACTTGGACTGTATTAAGGGTGCGTATGTGGAGAAGCTGGGACCTGTCTCCCGTTAGACATGAGTAATATGTAAGAGACCGTTGCCGGGATAATATAGGATCTGAGTGATCGCCACACAGACTTAATTCCACACGCTCCTACACCTTACACAGACGTACTATGACGACTGTGGAAGTTACGAGTATTTCATAGTCTAGCGATTGATCCCATGCAATGTACCCAACCTCACTCTCGTCTACGGTAGCCTAGCTTATGTTTTCTTCCGCCCTTCTAATTTGGCTCTGTAATCCTACTCGTGTCAGTACACCTTGAATCTCGCTCACCCCTTGGTCTTTGTGTGCTTACCTGACAGCTGATCCTTAAGCCCTCTTCCAAGCCGACTCGAGGTTTATATCCTAGCAGTAATCTCGCTTTCGATATACTGACATAGCGGTCCCGACATCCTTCACTCACAATGCCCCGACTAAGCACACCCTCCGTCCCTGTCACCCAACTAATCCATTCGGCACAATAGCCCAAACACCATGTCAATCCTTCTGGAACCCGGACGTGGAACTTTGGAACATGGCCAAACTCCTTCCAGACAGCTATGCACAGGTCCCTCGCTGTGACGGGCTCGCCGTTGGTAATGAAGATGGCCTCACCAGCAGCTGTCTGCGCATTCAATAAGTTTCCAGCGGCGAGGACGTGGGCGTCTGCTATGTTTTCTACGTAGACAAAGTCCTGAAGATTGGTCCCTGTACCTAGAATAAAGGGTGTCTGGCCGGCTGAGATGCATGAGTGTATCGTGGGGATGCAGACAGTGTCGTTGCGACCGAAGATGGGCGCTGAGCGCAGGGCACAGGTGGCGAAGTCATTCGTATTTGCGGAAAGCACAATTGATTCAGCGAGTGCCTGTCATGCATTAGTTGACTATACAGTGCGGAGGTGAAGTGTGCTGTATCGTGGCTACAGAGCAGTACTCGAAGGTTTCATACAAGATACAGAAATGGCAACGGTGAACCGGCAGGAATCATGGCACGTAGAAAAGAAATCATGAAAGGAGTGAAAGTTTGTTACCTTGCTTTGTCCATAGCTCGTTTGTACACTCCCCGTGGGCCAATGCTCGTCTACATTCCTGAAGTCGCGATCCAACTCGTCCAACACGACAGTCACGCTACTGGTATACACAAAGGCTTTTGTACCGCACTCCCTACTTGCCTCGACAACATTCCTTGTTCCCTCAACGTTTATCCTGAAGATGGCCCCTTTGCCCTTCATGGAATAGCGCTTCGTCCCCAGAGGGAACACACCCACTGTGTGAATGACGACGGCAGGTCGAGCTTCGGAAAAGACGCTGTACAAGGAAGATGGGTCCAAAATGTCGCAACGAACATAGCGTACACTGTTGGTAAAGGTGGTGCTACCGAGCGAAGGCGGGTTAACGTCTATGACGGTGATGGCGTATCTTCTGGTACTCAAGAGTGCGGAGACGACGGCGGTGCCCAGGAAGCCACAGCCACCCGTTACCAGAACGCGAATTGGCTCCATTAAAGCGCACGGATATTATAGCGGATGTTGTTGCATGAAAATTGGTATTTCGTGATTGCGCACAGTAGTCGTTGGCGGTCGATGTCGCGGTGGACCTCAGGAAGGGCGGGATAGTAGAAGCGGGTCGCGTCCGAGGATCGTCGCGCTTTCCCGGTTCGCATCAAATGCTTGTAATGCCAAACGTGCACTGTCGTTGCAGAGCAAATATACACGTCTGGTATACTAGACCTAATTGTACGTAATGCCGGGCGATTGTTGAGCGATGCGAAAGTCTGCAGATTGTCGCTGGTGTTCACTGCCGCCACATCAACTTTTTTATGACGTGGACTGAGCAGACGGAGGTTGATAATAGCTATACTGAACGCAACTCTACGTCCATTCACGCAGGTATGCACATGTTAAAGTGCAAAGATACCTAGGTAATGCCGTGTTAGCTTTTGCAGCTCTGAATACGCCTTTGCAATCTCTGATTAATTTGAGATCCAGGAACAACATCGATCATCAACGAAAATTATTGCTTGACTACCGGCGCCATGAGAGTCAACGAAAGTGAAGGCATGTAATAAGAAGATCTGAACCTATACTACGAGACTAATTTTATCCAGCCATCCTGACACCCCGTCTGCTCCTTGTGCCTTATAGCTTGCACCATGTCCCCACATACCACGAATGGATGCAAGATGAGGTAAGGCCTAACTAGCCTCCTATCTCTCCTGATATATGGCTGATCAGTGTGTAGGAATTGCAAAGGCTTACAGCTTCCGAGCCGCTGACGCTTCCGGAGGAGTACGCTATGCAGTCCTCGTGGCGACGGGATGCAGATAAATTGACTTTTATCATCTGCACTTCGCCGCACACACCGGAAGCACTGTCGGATGTCTCTATACCTGTTAGAGTCACTCGCAAAATCGAAGACACGCCCGATCGTATGATTGGGGATGTGAACCTGTTTTTGTACCCGTCCGAGGACTGTGACGACGGCGCAGGGGAACAAGGCAAACACGAGACCGGAAAGATGGACGCGGTGGGGGAATTGGAGATTATGATTGCCCGGCCTGACGCACGAGGAAAAGGGCTAGCAAAAGAAGCCCTACAGGCGTTCATCTGGTACATATCTACCTCGTTGCCAGCCATCCTGGACGAGTACGCAAAGGGAGCCAACGACACAGACAAGCCCAAATCTCTGAGCTACCTCCGAGTCAGAATCGACAAGGACAACATCCATAGCCTCAGTCTGTTCAAAACGTTGGGCTTCAGCCAAGTCAGCGAGCCTAATTACTTTGGAGAAGTGGAGTTACGGTCAGAGGTTGTACGACACGGGATAAACAAAGCTACTTCGTTGGCAAAAAGCCTCTCGTACGGGGACTGATGAACAAAGATGTCCGAGATGAGTAAATCGAGAATACAAGATTCCATGACACGAGGCAAAGAAATCTCATTGTTGAAAGCACCTGGCAATGTACACGATATAAAACACACGCTTCCGCTCCCGGCTCTCCTGAAGCGCGCAAATGCAGACTCCCTCCCCGTCTATTGGTTCGTCTTGCCGGAAGTGTTTGGCTTGGGGACGTGGTCGAGAATGCTCTTGTTTGGCGGTGGCTGGTAGACGATCTTCCTCGTCTTGAGCGGGGCCCACTTGTACCTGTCGTAGTAGTTAGTCATGTGTGCGAGGTGGCGGAGCTGCAGAGACTTGCCTCTTGACCCAGACACTGAGGGCGAACAGAACACTGGTCACCGCGAGAACCTTCCAGCCCATCTTCTTACGGTCGTCCATCTCGGGCTCGGCGGTCCAGTTGAGGAACTCGACGACGTCCTTGGCCATCTGCGAAGTCGAAGCCTTGGTGCCATCATCGTATTCAACCAAGTCGTCGTACAGAACACGGGCCATGGCGATTCCAGTGCCGGGGAAGTAGGGGTTAAAGTTGAGGCCTTCCTGGACAACGGCACCAGCAGGCGGCTCCTCGGGGTAGCCGGTCAGCAAGCTGAAGATGTAGTTGCAGCCACCGTGGCGGGCCTTGACCATGAGGGATAGATCCGGAGGCAGGGCACCGTTGTTGGCAGCGCGGGCGGCCTCGTCGTTCTTGTAGGGAGCGGGCATGTAGTCGGACAGCTTTCCGGGGCGCTTCTCAATCTCGCCCTGGTCGTTGGGCTCTGTGTCGTATTCGTTCTCCTCGGCCAGGGCCTTGGCTTCGTCAACCGTCATGAACTTGCCGACGACGGCGCGGTAGGGCACACGCGAGATGGAGTGACACGAAGCGCAGACCTCGCGGTAGACCTGGAAGCCGCGGCGGAGACTGTGACAGGTTAGGGGGCGGGCATGTACGGTGCGGTGGGGAAGACGTACGCTCCGTGATCGAAGGTCTTGTGCCACTTCTCGTGCTCCCACGGGTATTGGGTCGGGTGGAGGCTGTACAAGCATGTCGTCAGTTCATGGCCGCGGGCCTGGCTATCTGGAGCTCACTCACCCTTCTTCGGCGGGGGTCATGGCATCGACGTGGCGTCCGTAGAGGTGCCAGTACCAGGCAGTCGAGCCGACGGCGAAGAGTGTCGCTCCGGCGGGGAGGGCGTTGTTCTTCCAGGCCGAGGCGGCGCTGTCGGCGGAGGACCATGTCGAGGCGAAGCGCTGTATCACGCATTGGGTCAGCCAGATGATTCAATGGAGGCGGGGGCAGGCCCGAGTATGGCAGCCGGGCCAGCAGGGCGGCGACGCAGCTTGCGCCAGCGGTCGGGAGATGCTGGGCCATGCGGGAGGCGTACCGGTTTGCTCGAGGCATTGCGGGCGGAGGCGGCGGCGGAGCGTGCCGTACGCAGTGTTGAGCGAGCCAACATGGTCGTGGGAAGCTGGCTCGGGGCTGGGGGAGACGCGAGCAATGGGTTGTCGGCGATGGTGATGCGGCGGAGAACTGGTGCGAGACCCATTTTCCAATTTCCAAGCTAACTAAGCCGGATCACGTGCGTCATGATTGGACGAGGCTGCTATGCGCCAAAAATTGAGTATTTTGCTCTCGCACATAGCCTCGCATGCAAGAGCGAGCGTCTTCGAGAGGTGCAGGCAGCGACTAGCGATGCAGCATCACATGGCAGGCAGTCCAGAGGGTTCCGCGTGCAAGAGATTTCGTCCGAGGACCCTATATCCTTCGGGGTGTACTTCGTTTCGCGCACCCCCTTCAGAAACGAGCGTCTTTGCGAGACACAATCCAGTGCTGTTGTCTCAGGGGAGTAACATGTTGCGGCTCACCCTCGACCCTCTGCGGGCGCACAAAAAGACACGTGATACGCAGCAATATAGCCCTACTTCTATACCCTTTCACTCATGCAGGAATTGTAAAAGGGCTCAAACGAGGGCTGCTTCTCTCTAGCAAGACTGGCAGTGCCGGGGCAGTGCCAGAACACACAGCGTCCCCAGGAGCGGGAGACGCCGTGGAGGTTCTTGCGTGTTGCCGGAACTCAACGCGAAGTCGGCCTGGGTTATATAGTTGGCCCCGATGCGAGCTAGGCTGCATCTGGCAACGAAGAGAGCCCTGGAGGACCTCGAGCTCTCGTGGCGCGGTGGACAGGTCGCGACACAGCACACGAGAAGCTAGATGCACCGTTTCACCTACCATGGACGTCTTCTGCTCGCTCCCAGCCGCCGACTGAAGCCACGTCGGACGCTACTGCACACGCTCACACCAAACGCGCGACTCTCTCATCCCCCCACCAACATCCCTCGCCCGGTCCCTCGTCCCCCACCACCCTCCCGACACCCTGCCCTTGTCCCCGCAAGGCACTGTTCCCACCGACGAAATATGTGCAAGCACTTTGGCGCAGAGGGCCACGCGTCCATCGACATCACCAAGGGTCGCGAGGTGCTGCCCGCCAATGTCAAGCCCGTCCACTACGACCTGACACTGGAGCCCGACTTTGCCAACTTCACCTACCAGGGCACCGTCACCATCGAGTACGTTTCCGTCCGCCCGTATGAGGGGGGCTCTGCTGACACTCGGCCAGTCTAGATGTCGTCGACGACACCACGTCCATTTCTCTCAACACCAACGAGCTCAAGATCCACTCGACCAAGGTCACGGCCGGCCAGCAAGTCATCACCGAGTCGCCCAATGTCGCCACCGACCACGATGCGCAGACGACCACGGTCAGCTTCGACCAGACCATTCCGGGCGGTAGCCAGGCGAAGCTCACCATGGCCTTCGCCGGAGTGCTGAACGACAACATGGCCGGCTTCTACCGCTCCTCTTTCAAGGCTGCCGACGGTTCCACCACATACATGGCCACGACGCAGATGGAGCCGACAGATGCCAGACGGGCGTTTCCTTGCTTCGACGAGCCCGCGCTCAAGGCCAAATTCACCGTCACCCTCATCGCCGATGAGAAGATGACCTGTCTCAGCAACATGGACGTAGCGTCGGAGAAACAGATCCAAAGCACCGTCTCCGGCGGAAGGCGCAAGGCCGTCACCTTCAGCCCGACGCCTCTCATGTCGACGTACCTCCTATGCTTCATTGTCGGTGAGCTCAACTACATTGAGACGAACAACTTCCGCGTCCCTGTGCGAGTCTATGCTCCAAAGGATCGGGACATTGAGCACGGCCGCTTTTCGCTCGAGCTGGCGGCAAAGACGCTGGAATTCTACGAAAAAACCTTTGACAGTCCCTTCCCGCTGCCCAAAATGGACATGGTGGCAATTCCCGACTTCAGTGCAGGTGCCATGGAAAATTGGGGTCTCGTTACATATCGTGTGGTCGACGTGCTCATTGACGAAAAGGTCAGCGGTGCGGCTACTAAGCAGCGCGTCGCCGAGACGGTGCAGCACGAGCTTGCCCACCAGTGGTTTGGTAATCTCGTAACCATGGACTTCTGGGACGGCTTGTGGCTTAATGAGGGATTTGCAACCTGGATGTCGTGGTATTCCTGCAACGTCTTCTACCCTGACTGGAAGGTCTGGGAAGGCTATGTTACAGACAACCTGGCCAGCGCACTCTCGCTCGACTCGCTACGCAGCAGCCATCCCATCGAGGTGCCGGTAAAGCGCGCAGACGAGATAAACCAGATTTTTGATGCCATCTCATACTCCAAGGGCTCGAGTGTCATTCGCATGATCTCCAAATATGTTGGAGAGGAGACCTTCATGGAAGGAATCCGCCGATATCTCAAAAAGCACGCCTATGGTAACACAGAGACTGGTGACCTCTGGGCTGCCTTGGCTGATGCCAGCGGTAAGGATGTTGGCAAGGTCATGGACATCTGGACCAAGAAGGTCGGCTTCCCAGTCGTGACCGTCACGGAAGGCACTGATTCCATCCACCTTAAGCAGAACCGCTTCCTCCGCACTGCCGATGTCAAGCCAGAGGAAGACCAAACCCTGTACCCCGTATTTCTTGCGCTGCGGACCAAAGAAGGAGTTGACGAAGACTTGACGCTTTTCGATCGTGAAGCCGACTTTAAGCTCAAAGAACTCGACTTCTTCAAGCTCAACGCGGACCACTCTGGTCTCTACCGGACCTCGTACACGCCAGAGCGCCTACGGAAGCTTGGCATATCGGCCAAAGAGGGCCTCTTGACCGTTGAGGATCGAGCTGGCATGATTGCCGACGCAGGCTCGCTGGCGGCGTCTGGCTACCAGAAAACGTCTGGTATACTCTCGCTCCTGGACAGCTTCAAACACGAAGCAGAGTTTGTCGTCTGGGGAGAGATTACGGGTCGTATTGGTTCCCTGCGGGGCGCATGGATGTTTGAGGACCAGAAGATCCGGGACGCACTGAAGAAGTTCCAGTTGGAGCTCAGCGCAGAGAAGGCACATGAGCTGGGATGGGCATTCAATGAAAAAGACGGTCACATCGAGCAGCAGTTCAAGGGTCTCATGTTTGGTGCTGCTGGTATCGCTGGCGACGAGGAGATTACCAAGGCATCCTTTGATATGTTCGACAAGTTCAAGGCAGGCGACAAGTCTGCCATTCACCCCAACATTCGCGGCAGCGTGTATGCCATTGTGCTAGCGAACGGTGGGCAAGAAGAGGTGAGCAGTGCTACGAGGATGGATGGAATGCAGACTGACCAGACGCAGTACGATGTCATCGTCAACGAGACGCGGAATGCCGCCACAAGCGACGAGCGCAACTCGGCTCTTCGCGCACTGGGCCGTGCCAAGTCTCCAGAGCTCATCCAGCGCACGCTTGCCATGGCTCTCAGCGACGAAGTCAAGGGCCAAGACATCTACTTGCCCATTGCAGCATTGAGATCACACGCGGAGGGCTGTCATGCGCTCTGGAAGTGGGTCAAGGATAACTGGGACGAGCTAGAGAGGAGGCTCCCCCCTAGCCTGAGCATGCTAAGTTCGGTGGTTGCCATTACAACATCAGGCTTCACCCACCGGGAACACATAGAGGATATTGAGGCGTTCTTCAAGGGCAAGAGCACCAAGGGATTTGACATGGCGCTGTCCCAGAGCATCGACGCCATCAGCGCTAAAGCCGCATGGCTTGAGAGAGATGCGGACGATGTCAAGACGTGGTTGCAGGAACACAAGTATCTGCAGTAGGCGCCAATATCGGTGCACTGTTATGAGGAATGGCTGTATAATATAGATGAAGAAATCAGAAACTCATGCCGCTAACGCTATCGATAAGAGTGCGCGATACCCAGGTAGCCGGTGCGTGATGAAGGTAGTATGTAACATGGATCTGTCCAGAAGGTTGGCTACGTCAGCTTGCCCAACGTGGGACCGCCAGTTCGGCCATGGCTCTCTGAAGAGTACACTTGGAACGCCACCACCTCACATTGACTTTGTGGCGCTCGAGCATTATATCACAATTGCAAGTGGTAGAGCGTTTCGCTAACAAACACAGCAGCCTCCACGATACCTCCGAAGGGTTGTCGGAAGCTTGATATCGGGGTGCGCGCAGACGCCGGAGCCGTCATGGCGCAACGGATACTGCGACCAGGCACACGCGCAGACGCAGATGCAGACGCAGATGCAGACGCAGACGCAGACGCGCTCGATGATACGGTAGAGCTCGAGCAATTCCGCCGCTCACCCCATCCATACTTGCATCACGGAGATCAGACACGAAGGCAGTCACCAGGCCCGACGCATCGCGCCCCTCCGCCCTCGCAGTCGCGACCCTCTTCCGAGCCTCCAGGCAAGACGATGCACGACAACGACGGCCGGACACGCAGGAAAAGGGCACCGCACTCCCCGAGCGAAAGCGGCACCGAAGCCGACGACGAGGGCTACAGCCTCGTCAAGGCGCTGCCTGCTCCTCCCCTGCGACCACACAAAGGCCTTCGAGAATCGCGGACGTCGGGCACAGACGAATGGGCGAGTCCGCTGCTCACTCCCACACAGATCGACGACGAGGGGAGAAAGCTCTTCGAGGGCTACTTTTCCCGCACCAGCAAGACGAGGCGCTTAGGAGACGCATACCACAACGACGACGAGGCGAGGAGGGCCAAGCAAAAGTACCTCCAGCGGCGGCGCAACGAGCTGGTCAGGCGAACGACCGAGACTGCATTGCTCGCGGGCATTGCCACGCTCGCCGTCCGCGGTTGCGACTGCTGGGTTAATTTGCTGGCATGGCATAGAGGTCAGCTCACCCCTCACGCATGGGCCGAAGATCGCTAACCCGTGTCTAGTAGAATTGTTGACGCACGTTGCAGTCATGGCTGGCGTCTTGGGGCTGTATCCGCTTCGTCTTCTGTACTACTCATGGAGAAATCACTCTCGTCTCCGGCTTGGCCGTCGAATACATCTACCAGCCGCCTTCGATCCTGCCACCATACTCTACCCCCCAATACTGCCCGTCCTCATTGCGCTGTCACTCTTTGCCTCATCACCAAAGCCCCTTCTACCCAACATGTTGCTTGGCTTAGCTGCGTTGCCAGCCAGACTCATTCCCTTCAGGAGCGCTACCTTGGGCTACTCTCCTCTGCACTGGCTGATCTCCATCATGCCCCTGATTGCTGCCGAGAACACCGACATACCGTCTCGGCTGTTTGCACAGACACCATACAGACTCAAGTTACCCCCGCCTGACCAAGGTCTAGATCCCGAACTTCTGGTGACGTTGTTTGCTCTGCATCAGGCGCTGCTACCGCCGCTATACTACCTCACCACTACGAGCCTTCTACCAGCAGAGCTCCACCTGCTTTCGATTGGGCTCATCAACCTCCTCTTGTTCTCGGACACCCCTCAAGCAACCATACTCAGTGTCTTACTGTGGCTAGGCGGGCTGGGGGTATTTTTGCTCTGCGGCAACGTCTTGAAGTGGGGCGTTGCACTTGCACGCATCCCGCGATGGAGGCTTCGACGCGCTGGCCAAGTCATTCGAGCTCGACAGAACTTCTTGCAGGTGTTGAACCGTAGTCTGGGATCCAAACGCGATGGAAGCGATTCCGTGAGGGATGTGAGTGACAGTGATGCGGATGAAGAACCCAGATTCGACAAGCCTCTCCAAAAGACCAAGAGCCTTAAAGTCAACATTTTAGACTCGGTCAGACACAGCAGACCCTGCATGGAGGACAGCGAGCCGCGGTCTGCTGCCGAAGCGATAAAGACTGGCTTTCAGCAGTCTACTTCTGCAGAAGGGCCCACTCATAACAGTGGACGTAAGCGTAGGAATACCCTTCCAGTCCTCGCTGCTGAAGACCATACGTCACAGCATCGATATTCGAACCGAAGACAGTCGAGATCGATTGTGCAGTCTTACTTATCGCTCACGCCCACCGAAGCCACCAGGAGGAAATGGCTCTACGCTGGATACTTCTACGTGATTGTCGTAGGCCTGATACTGGGACCAATTCGGTATAGTATCGGCAAACATGCTCTTCACCGTCACGAACCTTTTGGATGGGCCATTAGCTACCTCTTCGGCAATGTATCACGCGTGCGGTGGGAAGTGTTCAAGTGGGATTTGGACTGGTGGGTCCCTCTGCCGACGAGACGGGACGCTGACGACATGGCCCAACTCACACACTATCTGCCATTTGCGGAATACGTTCGTCGCGTAGTGCTGGGAGAAGCGAATACGCGTCTCTTGCTGTGCGTGTACTGTGCCGGAACCATACTCACTGGCCTCGTGGCAGTCTTGTCGCTTTCTGCGGTGGTAGAAGTCGACACACGCAGAAAGGTGTTCCACGGCACCATGGTGGCGATGCTCCTGCCGACCATCTTCATTGACCCTTGTTTTGTTGCGCTGGCGCTTGCACTTGTACTTGCGATATTCCTCCTCCTCGATCTGATTCGAGCCTCGCAGCTTCCGCCGCTGTCCAAGCCCATTGCCAGGTTCCTGACGCCGTACGTGGATGGCCGCGATCTCCGAGGCCCCGTGGTGGTATCGCACATCTTCCTCTTGATTGGCTGTGCGATCCCGCTGTGGCTATCGCTCGCAGGAGTGGAACGGACTGGCGATGAGTCGTGGCAAGGCTGGGAGGTGAAAGGCAGGGACGTGAGTATGGTGGCGGGAGTTATATGTGTGGGCATGGGCGACGCAGCAGCATCCCTCATCGGGCGGCGCTACGGGCGGCGGAAATGGCCTTGGGCAGGCGGCAAGTCACTGGAAGGGTCCTTGGCGTTTGCAGTCGCGGTGTCGGCTGGACTCGTGGCAAGTATAGTCTGGCTCCGCGTTGGGTGGGAAAGCGGAGCGGTAGGGCACAAGACGGAGGGCGAGTGGGCTCACGACGCATTGCTCACGGTCGGCAAGGCGGCTCTGTGCGCGACAGGCGTAAGCCTCAACGAGGCGGTCCTCACAGGCGGCAACGACAACGTGATCGTGCCAGTCATACTATGGGTCCTTGTGAGGGGTGTCAGGCTGTAGGTAGTGGACTCAGCCGCATCAGGCGGGATGCAGGTACGGTGTAGATAGACGGGTCGACCATGAAGCCGACCACATGGTCGTTCGCGCAGGGGAGCATGACTTGCATGGCAGGTCCCGAGTGAAGTACGTCAGAACGGGTGAGACCAGACAAGAAGCAGGCGCAAAGAAGCATGTCGGAGCGTGCAGCCTGGCGATGTGGTGCTAGTGCATGAGGGGCACGCGTCGTTATCAACCATCCCGGTCGGCTTCCTCCATGTGACACCCGCACGCCTGCCTCGAGCAACCGCCTCCGCCTATTGTACTGCCTGCCGTCCAGCTTCCTCTCTCTCCCGATACCCTGCTCTCGCGATACCCTACTCTCCCACCCGTCTCTGCCGCCCTGCCTCCCAGCGTTGAACCTGTTCTCTCCCGCGCCCAGCTGCTCGTCGCGCCTTGCATCCTCGTCCCTCAACCATCCATCACCACTATCGGCCGCCATCGACCACCGCTCTCCTCCCGCCAGCCCTGCACCGCCGCCAGCCCATGTCCAACGCCCTCACGGCCACGCTGTACCCACATCTTCGCTGGTAGCTGACGCCCAGCTGCTCAGCCAGCGCCGCCGACTATGGCAACACCCCCCAACCCGCACGCCCCCAGGCGGTCGGGCGCGTCACCGTCGGTGTCGACGCCCGCAGCCACGGGCTCGGAGCAGATCATCGGGAAGTTCAAGCGTCTGCATCACATTGGCAAGGGCAGCTTCGCCGAAGTCTACCGCGGCATTCACATTGTACGTTGCTGCCCTCCCTTCCCCGGGGCGTGCGCCGAGTGCTAACTGTCTCCCCCCACAGGAGAAGCGCCAGTCGGTCGCCATCAAGTCGGTCAATATGAACAAGCTCAATAAGAAGCTCAAAGACAACCTCGTCTCGGAAATCTCCATTCTGCGCAGTCTGCACCACCCGCACATAGTCTCGCTCATCGACTGCCATGAAACGCCGTCCCGCATGCACATCATCATGGAGTTTTGCGAGCTCGGCGACCTGTCAGCCTTTATCAAGAAGCGCTCCGACCTCGTCAACCACCCGCAGACGCAGCGCATGATAGAAAAGTACCCCAACCCGGCTGTTGGCGGCCTGCACGAAGTTGTTGTCCGCCACTTTGCCAAGCAGATGGCGAGCGCCCTGGAATTCCTGCGGTCCAAAAACTACATTCATCGTGATCTCAAGCCCCAGAACCTGCTCCTCAATCCATCCTCCATCTTTTACTCGCAGAGTGGCACCCTCGAACGGATGCCTCTGGCTGCCAGCGCCAATTCTTTGATACCCGCCACCGGCATCGCCTCGCTGCCCATGCTCAAGATTGCTGATTTCGGCTTCGCTAGGATTCTGCCGACTACCTCGCTGGCCGAAACTCTCTGCGGCTCTCCCCTCTACATGGCACCCGAGATTCTGCGGTATGAAAAGTATGACGCAAAGGCCGATCTGTGGTCTGTGGGAACTGTTCTCTTCGAAATGATGTGCGCCCGACCGCCATTCAGGGCGAACAACCACGTAGAGCTACTGCGCAAGATTGAAGAGCGCAAAGACCAGGTCCGATTTCCAGAAGGCCTCATTTGCACCAGGGCCATGAAGACCCTCATCCGCGCACTCTTGAAGCGAAAGCCAACCGAACGCATGTCATACGAGCATTTCTTCTCAGATCCCGTCATTCGTGATGAGATCCCAGACATGGTCGATGAGGACCTCCCGGGTTCTATGCAAGCGTCTGAGCGTATGCAAACCTCCGTATTAGAACCACCAATTGAGCCACCCAAGCGAGTCCACAAGGCGCCCCTCGAGCTGGAATCTAGGCCTACTGACAGTCCATACTCATTCTCGACCAGGGACAGGACGACAGGCCTTGGTACAACACCACCTTCACGTCCCGCTTCTCGACCTGTGTCTGGCAACTTCTCAGGCACTCCACCGCAATATCTGCCTGCAAGACGAGCTAGTAACGCCCCTATTGAACCCAACGACGAACGCAGTTCAACTCGTGAGCATCGTCGGCCTGCGCTCAACAACGCGGCAACCGCACCGGGACGTACTGCGACGCTGCAAGACCAGACGACAGCACCTACTGCCATCAGCCACAGGCGCAGGTACTCTCGCGACGAACAAGGTCCACCACACACCGGTCTCAAGGAGCACCTGGATCGCGAGCGGATTCCACAGAGAACGGAAGCAAACGTGTTGAAAGAGGCGGCAGAACGAGCCGCACAAGATAACGCGCTTGACGAGGGGTTTGTCTTTGTAGAAAAACGTCGTGTGGAGATTGACGCACTGGCAGACGAAATTGCCAACAGTCCACAAACACAGCGGGATCGTCCCCTCCACCGGGAGGCAGCAATGAAGCGACGATCGACAACGCAAGGGTCCCCAACATCAACCACTGGCGCAGTTCCCTCGAAAGCCATCCAGATCCAGCAAAAGCCTACCATTACGCACCAGCGCACGGCTTCTTACAGCCGGCGACAATACCGCCCAAGCTTTGAAACCGCTACCTCCGCTCTTTCCAAGGCTATGAACATGGTCAATATCCGAGGGCTTGGTCTGTCTCCGCCAGTCATGAAGGGCGTCTCACCCCCACAGGGTTATTCCGCATTTCCAGCGTATCCCACTGCGCAAAGCAGTATGCTAATGGTCGGCGACGGAGGCAAATCCGTTGGCAAAGATGAAGATACCATGACGGTCAAGAGGATTGAGGATCTGGCCCAGCTCAGTCACGTTGTGTATGGCTTCGCCGAAGTCAAATACAGTCAACTTGTCCCGGTTGCACCAAGCGACCCAGCTTTAGGAGTCGGTTCCACTGGCGTTGCTCGCAAGCCCAACAGCGATGTGATCGACGATGACGATGACGACGAAGACTTGACGCCTGATACTGTTCTCATCATTTCCGAAGAAGCGCTAGTACTTTTCGTCAAGACGTTAGCAATGTTGAACAAGGCTATGGACCTGACTGGCAGCTACTGGAACCGCACCCGCCGCAATAGTGGCCCCGACGGAACAAGCCGAACCAATGCAAAGCTGGGTCAAGTGGTCTCATGGATGCGCGATCGATTCAACGAATGCTGTGTCAAATCTGAGATTGTCGCACGCAAGCTCAAGCAGGCACAGCAGCAGCTACCGGCAGATCATCCAAGCCATCCTCATAATCAATCGGCGGCATCCGGCTCTGCAACTGCTGTAGGTTCCGCGGAGAACATCCTACTTACAACTGGTGTTACTGCCGAGAAACTATTATACGACCGGTCCCTAGAGATGAGTCGCCAGGCAGCCATTGATGAACTTACTGGACACAACCTGGCGGACTGTGATATCAACTACTGGACTGCCATCACGATGCTTCAAGCGGTTCTAGAAGAAGAAGAAGAACCGTCCAACGAGAAAGCTGATGCCGAGGAGATCAATGGCCTCGACGGGGAAGATCGGCGCTCGATCCAGAAGCGTAAGTCCCGCTACAGTGTCCCCAAAGTGCACGCAACTGACCATCGCAGTCCTTGAACAAATGAGAAGCCGGCAACGAGCTCTCAAGAAAAAACTCGACGTTGTCAGGACTCAAAAGCGCACTTCCATCACTAGTGCGCCTGTACAACATTCCGTGGGGCGCAGCTCTTCTTCCCAAGGTGTCGCAAAGTAGTCTTGCATCGCACAAAACTACGTTTGCAATTACCAAACTTACAACAGCTTCTTTTCGCACCTAGGAACGGCACCATCCTCACGCCATTCTGCTCTCTGTGTATAGGTTTAGTTTTCGGTATTCTTTGCTTGGTTTGGGACAATGGGGCCTCATGAAGGGCTTTGGCGCACTCGCATTCATTCGCATATGATACCAAGATCTTGAATAACAACGACGTATAGTTTTTCTTATTAATCGCAGGCGTTTGAGATAAACAGCGGGTTCAGGCGCACGTTTGGGTTGGCATGGTATTTTGCTATAATTAGTCTATCACGGGGCGACGCCCTGGGTGATCTGGAGGAACAGTGCCTGCATTGGTTCTGGGCTGGCCTTTGAAGCAATAGAGCGTGTATCGAGACTTGCACGATTTGTCAGTAGCTGGGGAATAGCAAGTAGTGGTCAGTGTATCGAAATTGCAGTCCATACAGCAGACATGAGATGTGGCACCTGCAGGCTCAGTGCGTGTTTACTATCCTACGCGCAACTTCGGGCCGTGCCAATAGATACCAGAGCTTTGCAAAGGTTCAGTGCACATGATCATCCAAGCCGATGTACAGGCATGGCATTGCTCCACGCAATGAGCTCGGGCGTCCGCCTCGAGACCGCGTTTTCAAGAGATGGAAATGCTTATAATCTTAATATCCTCCTCCGGCTTCTCTTTGTATACTTTGGTATTCTCAATCTTGTGAACAACATCCATCCCAGCAATCGCTCGTCCGAAGATGGTATGCTTGTTGTCGAGCCAGGGCTGCATACATGTCACAGTCAGCGCACCGCCTCATCGTGGAACTGATAGTAAATGAGAAAATGAGGACTTACCGTCTTTTCGGTGGTAATGAAGAATTGACTTCCGTTCGAATTTGGCCCAGCATTCGCCATGCTCACTGTGTAGGCTTTGTCGTGTCTCAAGTTGGAGAACTCATCTGCAAACTCCTTGCCCCAAATACTCTCTCCACCAGTGCCGTCGCCAAGTGGGTCACCAGTCTGTATCATGAATTTGCGGATCACGCGGTGGAATATGACGTTGTTGTAATAGCTGTTGCGCGCGTGTGTGACAAAGTTTTCGACGGCCTTGGGAGCAGCGTCCGGGAAGAGACGGATGGTAATGTCGCCGTAAGTGGTGTGAAGAGTTGCTGTAGTGCCCGTTGCGGCGAGTGCTTTGTCGTCCTTTTGTTTGCTAGAGGCGGCAACGCGAGGCTTTTCGTTCTGCACATCACGGGTCGACTTGGTAGCGCTGGTGTCGTTGGTGTACATGTAGAAACGGACCTTGCCAGAACCTGTAGCGACGAGCATGGCGTCTCTGGCCTCGGCTTCCTGTAGCAACGGGTTCTCGCTTGCTGCCATTTCGACTGTGACAACACCTTTTTTCTCTGGTTGCCCTTGGTAGAGGCACAGCCATAGCGGTCTGATGGATTCTTCCTGGCCGTACAGCTTCACGAGCTTGTTGGTCAATGTGTTGATCACTTTGACGCCGTACATGCTGCCGTATAGGATGAAATTGCTTGTCTCGTCAAATGTCACATTCATGCGACACCTCGTCGTAGGCTGGTCGAGCTCTCTTTCGATGGCTATGCGTCGACCAAACTCCATGTCCTCCAGATGCTGGACAGCGGTACCGGCCTGTTGCATGCTGGTGATGGTCTCGATTGATTCGTCGTACGTACGATGAAGTTTGCCGGTTGCAAAATCGAAGACGCGGACCTTGCGATCCGGGAATGAAAGCGTCGCAAATTGCTTCCCAGTGGGAGATATGGTAAGCGACGAGGGCACACTTTTTGACTTTTTGAAGTCGAAGAGACTGGTAGAGCTCTTGAGCCTCCAGACATTGTCTGGCTTCTCATAGTTTCCATTGGGCCTCCAGTATTCCACCATACCACCTTGATCGACGCTCACAACACAGTCGAACTCGCTATTGTATGCCATTAAGCTCACTGACGCCCTGTGGACACTCCTGAGCGTTTGTAACGGCTCTGGATTCTCTCCTCTGCCATCGTAAATGCGGATCCAACTGTTTTCTTCGGAGCTGACGGCCAGTTGAGGAAAGCTTGCGCCTCGACCGTGCAGCCAACAAACTGCTCTAGGCGTGTACTCAACGCTCAGCATGGCCAGCAGATCGAAGGTGACGACATCGAAGATCTTGATCGTCTTGTCCGAGCCAGAAGTAGCAAAGCTACGGCCGTCGGCGCTCACGTTGACAGACTTGATCTCGCCGGTGTGCGCCCTGAATTCTTTGACAAACTCTATGCCGCCAAAGTCCTTCTTCCAGAACTTGACCACGCCGTCGACAGAGCTCGTTATGAGGAAGTCGGTGTGGGGCGTAAAGGTGGTAAAGCATAGTTGCTCGCGGTGCATTAGCGATTTGGAGTAGCGGGTCGCGCCGGGCAGCGCAGCGACGTAAAGCTTCTCGTAGGGCAGTTTGCGCTTTTTCCGCTTCGGGGCTGAAGACGGGAGGGCGGGACCAAAGTCATCATCATCGGAGGAAGTATCGTCTGGGGAGTTTGTTAGGAACTTGACGCGCAACGTGTGCGCAAGGGACATACCGTCCATAGCCTGCACAGGAGCTTCTTTTGCAGAGACGGCGCTGTCAGCCTCCATTTCGGTACGCGACCGCTTCACCTTGCTCGGCGACTGAGACCCGTCCATTTCCATCATGGGCATGCAACGAGACCGCCGGGGTGGTGCGGGTTGGTTGTCGCAGGCCCAAGCTTGGAATGATGGAATAATGCCGCGTCTAAACGCGTGACGTTGCGGCCTGTGCACAGTCGGAGAGTTTTGTGGAACACGTCAGCTACGCTAGCACGCCGTTTACGGATATCCACGGATTGTGATCACGCCTCAGCAGGATGATGTTGCCATGTTCAGAGACAATGTGAAAAGCCCACCCATGCTATCTTCTCTCCTCTTTCAATTTCATGTGCTATCGTAACGCAAGGGCATCGCTCGCTCTTCTGGTGCTGCGCGAGGACATGTATGTATTCATTGAACTCATCACGAATCGGATAAACACTGTGGGGCAGACGAATCACTGTTCCAGCCTCTTTCTATGATGCTATCGTACATGATGCCCATGGCTAATCTTCAGATCATCATTATCATCCAAGCGTGGGTGCTGGCTCATAGCTTCTGGTAGTCCAGCTTGCCCTCTAGCTTCTTCGACTCGGCCATCTTCCGCACTGCCTTGTTGAAATCGTCCTGATTGATCGAGTCTCGGTAGTCTTTAATGGCGAAGAGGCCGCTGCGGTGTGTTAGCCATGTCACAGTTACATAGAAGAGACACTTACGCCTCGGTGACAACGTTGCGAAGATCGGCACCGTTCATGCCATCGCTCATCTTCACAATACTCTCGAAGTCGATCTCGCCATCCGTCACCACGCTGCCAGAGTGGATTTTGAGAATCTCAAGACGGCCTACTTCGTTGGGCAGGGGGATTTCGAGTTTGCGGTCAAGACGCCCGGCGCGAAGCAGAGCGGGGTCGAGCGTGTCGGGTCGGTTTGTCGCCATGATGATCTTGGTCTGACCTAGATAGTCGAAGCCGTCGAGCTGGTTCAGCAGCTCCATAAGTGTTCGCTGAATCTCACGGTCTGCCGACGTTCCCTCGGAGAAGCGACGTCCGCCAATAGCATCGATTTCGTCCATGAAGATGATGCAGGGCTCGTGCTCCTTTGCGTACCCAAACATCTCACGGATGAGACGCGCCGATTCTCCAATGTATTTGTCGACAATGGCAGAACTGACGACCTTGAGGAAGTTTGTCTCGAGACTACTCGCCACGGCCCGTGCCAGGAGTGTCTTGCCTGTGCCTGGCGGTCCGTAGAGTAGCACTCCCTTTGGCGGTTTGATGCCTACCCGCAGAAACAGCTCTGGGTTCTTCAACGGCAGTTCGATGACCTCACGCAGCTCCCTAATCTGCTCGTTGAGGCCACCGATGCCGCCGAAGCTAACCTGCCCTGGGTCTTCGAGCGACATGTTGTAGACGAGCGGGTCGACTTCGCGGGGAAGCATGCGCATGATGGTAAGTGTCGTCATATCAAGGGCCACGCGTGTGCCTTGCTTGAGCTTGGCCTTGTCGACCTTGGACCGGCATCCGACGACGTAACGGGGCCCTGAGGATGCCTTGACAATGACTGCGGCGACGTTAGTGTGGCGTCTTTTGGCATGATGCACACGTGCACGTACATCGCTCCTCGTCCAGCTGCTTCAGCACCTCTCCTATTATCTGGCCGACGCTCTGCAGCGCCTTGATGTTGTCTTCGGATACGTCAAAGTCATGCTGAAGGCCCTTGATGTCCAGTCGCAGCGCTTTGAGCTTGGCCTCCCATTCTCTAGACTCGAGCAGCTTGGACTTATAGGCCTCGAGAGCGTGCTCGCGCTCCTGGTCGCCGCTTCCGCTCATGGTGGAGATGTGCGGCGGCGTGGGTGACGTTGCGGAGGTGCGGCGGCGTGTAGAGGTGAAGGTGATGGCAGGCGTGAGGGCGGCGGGCGGTACTTCAAGGCAGCCGAGTTTGCTGCAGTGTCAGGACGGCGTGAAGGTGTGCGCAGCCAGCGAAAGGGTCTATCCGCGTTGGGTGGAGTGAGTGTTGGAATGGGAGACGTCGGTGTTGATGGCCACGGCTATGGCGTTGGTGTTGTCCGTGTATGTGAGCGAGCTTGGACCAAGACGCCATTTCCGCGGCGAAAGTTAGTCTTCGAAAAAAGTTGGCCGATCAAATTCCTGCAACCACACCCGCAACCGCAATGTCGTCGTCCTTCTTCACCACGCCGGCCTCACAACGGAAACGGAAACGCAGCGAAGCCACCGATGGCGCCCCCAAACGACGCAACACAGATGCGCATGCTCGCCGCATGCAGCGAGAGGAGTCCATTAGCGGCAGCGACATCTCCGATGGCGACGGCGCACCCACGTTCGACGACGGCAGCGATAATGCGGACAGCGGCTCTAGCTCTTCGGAAGACGAAAATGAGACGGCGGCGGACAAGCGCCTCAGGCTGGCCGAGCGCTATCTCGACAACATCCGCAACGAGGTCGAGGAGGACGTGGGCTTCGACGCCGAGCAGATTGACAAGGACCTGATCGCCGAGCGCCTCAAAGAAGATGTTGCGGAGGGCAAGGGCAGGATATACCGGTCCATCGCTGCTGAGCTTGGCTTTGAACATGCATCACACGCCACGGCCTACTCGGGGCTGCAAAAAGCCACCACCGGATGCGCCGTCAAGCTGCCGCATGCCTGGACCATCAGCAAGGACCTCGTCGTCGAGAAGTGGGCAATTGCAGACCCGAAATCGTATGCGCCCGACCCAAATCGATCGTCCAACCTGACGCCGCGCACCACTCCCAAGAGGCTCTTGTGGCGCAAGGGAAATAAGAACAAAAAGGGCGACCGCGCTTTTCTGGGTCACACAGGCGAGATTGTGTCTATAGCCATCTCCGACTCGGGAAAGTACCTGGCCACGGGCGATGTGCACGCGCGTCTGGTCATCTGGGACGCCGAGACCCTCACGCCTCGTCACCTCTTTAGTCGCCATCGAGATGCCGTTCTCTCACTGTCCTTCCGGAGGGGCACCGAGCAGCTCTTCTCCGGCGGCGCAGACCGAGCAGTCATTGTCTGGAGTGCGCCTGAATCTGCATACATTGAGACACTGGTCGGACACCAAGACGCCGTCATTGGTGTCGCAGGCGGGTTGGAGACCAACCAAGAGACATGCGTCAGTGTAGGCGCCCGCGATCGCACTGCGCGCCTGTGGAGAGTCGTCGAGGAAAACCAGCTCGTCTTCCACGGAGGCGGTACAGCCAGGCAAAAGGGCTTGGACAAGCTGCGCAAAGGCCGATTTGGCAAGACTGTTGACGGAGACGACAAACAGGATCAAGACGCCGGTGTCAACCTCGACGACGATGCGCCCATCGCATATGCCGAAGGTTCCATCGATTGCGTCGGCCTTCTCGACGCCGGCTTGTTTGTCACAGCCTCGGACAATGGAGCCTTGTCGTTGTGGTCTGTCAACCGGAAGAAGCCCCTTTTTACATATCCACTCACCCACGGCCGCGATCCACCGCTTTCGCCCGAGCAAATGTCAGCCAACGACGACGCCGCAACATCGATGAAGCCCGGTCCCCGGCTACCGCGCTACGTGACTGCGCTTGCTACCGTTCCCTTTGCCGACTTGATCCTCACAGCGAGCTGGGACGGCTGGATACGTGCCTGGAAGATCACAGCTGACAAGAAGAGCATTGAACCCGCGGGCAAGATAGGACGTGTGCCGATTGCGGAAGACGAGTCCATGGTCAATGGCAGCTCTAGGGACGATGCTATTCCCATACGAGGCATTGTGAATGGTCTTGCAGTTCAGGAGAGAGGAGACAGAGGCAAGGATGGGCTGTGCGTGGTGGCTGCCGTGGGCAAGGAGCCCAGGTTAGCCAGATGGATGTCTGCAAAGGCCAAGAACGGCATTCACGTTTTCGAGGTACCGAGAAGAAGCCTGACAAACGGAGCAACTGACGGCGAGGAGGAGGGTTAGGAAGCATAGGCGAAAAGTAACTTGCATTGCGAGGCGTTTGTGGATGCATATTAGATACCAATTCTCATGACGCATTTAGTGACGACTTATGGTCGCCTTCTTACACTCGGTGCAGCGAGACTCTGTCTCACAGGTGTCTAGGCCATGCGTGATGGGGGTGGTGACGTGCGCACTGTCTGGCAGCGTGTGTATCTTTTTCAAGCTACAAAGGAAGATGGGATAGGTAAAGGTGAGACGTGGTGAATACGTTTAGGGTGCACCGTGGACATTATCTTTTGGACCAAGACCGAAAAGAACATGCAGGGTGCAATGTACACCTAACGTGGACATTGAGCTTGGTAGTGATATGAGAATAGCCCTGAGCTTACTATCTTGACGTTGGTTGTCGTGATGGTGGGCAGTGTGACATTACCAGCAGTGGGCCAGGATTCGTTGCACCCCAGGCCCACAGCCCAGGCCAAGTCGACTGCAGCACTGGTGACGTTGGTGTCGAAGAAGCAAGCAGTGGGCGCTACACGTGGCCGTTGGCATGAGTGCATTTGAGTCGGGCAGCTAGGCGGTCAGTGAGGCTGCTGAGATGGACACGTAGCCGACTAGACGAGGCGTGGATGACTCCCAGCAGTGCGAGGCGGGTTGGGTGAGGTTAAGATGCAGATGGGGTGCAGTTGAGCTGCTCGCACATCAACATCGACGCCCTCGTCCTTCCGCTCCAGCTGCGTCTGCCCGCCGCTATACCCACGGCCCGTCGCCAGACCATGTACGCGTCGGCACACAGCTTTGCCCGGCATTTGCATCAGAGTTGGAGAGTTGGGGCAGCATCGCCTTTTCCGTGTTGGCCAGGTGGACGCGCTAGCACAACGGCAGCGGCCCAACTGGAGTGCGGGAATCGCTTCACCCGCTCAGCCGCCCAGCGCTCTTTGCTCTCCTGCCCGCCCCAAGACATCGACTGTCCCGCACGACCGCCGTCTGCCGGTCGCACCCAGCGTGTGTCGTTGTTGTAACTGTACAGACTGTTGTAGCGCAGCGCTTCTGGCCATCTGGGGCTCCGCCTTGTTCTCCTGACGCCCTCGCGCCCGCACTTCGCAGCCCCTCCACTGCTCCACCTTGGCCATTGCATTTCATCTCATCCCGTCCCATCGCCTGCATCTCGCTGCCCGTACAAGGTCATGCCGTTAGTCATAGCCCATCTACCCCATGGTCGCGCCCTGCCCCAGGCTGCGTCGCGCCGCTATCATGTCAAGGGCGACACTAACGTGGCCATCAGACTCAGGAAGGGAATCACTGTCAACAACCACACGGGCGCCTTCGAAGACGACGACGAAGACTTCACTGACGACGACTCGGCCGGCATCCAGGTAGTCTCGGCCAGCGACGACGAGTATAGCACCTCGGAGGCGACCGAGGAAGACGCCGACGAGGATCAAAGCGAAGACGACATCCAAGACGACGATACAGACGACAACGAAGAGGACGAGGGCTCGTGGGACTACATCGACGAGATCAACCCTTCCGACTCTGCCTCTCGCCCTCGCGTTGTCCACCGTCACCCTGCGCCACACCACGCGATCCCCCCACCTGCTGTAGCCCCTTCACGAGCACCCCGACCCAAGCCCTCGCACCGAGACCGAGCCTCTTCACGCCACGCAGCCCCCGTACCAGACCCTCCCTCGCGCCTTCAGAGCCACAGCCGCAGCCGCAGCCGCAGCAAACTGGAGCGCGCACGCAGGCCGAGGCGGCCAAGGCCCCAATCCGTCCACCATCAGGACCCTCTCGACGTCGAGGATGACGACGACGACTACCCATACGCCCCATCGGCTCGCCCTGGCCCCCCTCCCGGCCATCCCAGTGCTGGCTGGGGCCACATTCCCCAGCATGCCCCCAACGGCTACGCTCCAAGCTTGATGTCGGATCCACGCTTCCCATATGCCTTCCCAGGCGGCGCCGCCCAGTCGCCTGCAGGCCAGCTGGTTCCTTTTGGCCACGACACACATCCCGCCTATGCTCAGAATCCCTTTGCGCCCAATGGACAGAATCCGTTTACCCAAGGCCCCGCTTCGGCTGCAGATCCGCGTGCCGGCTACTTTCCCGAATATCAGGACACCCGCCATCAGGACTCGCGCCAGGCACGCAGAGGACATCGCAACTCGATGCCGCCAGCGCCCCCCGGGGACATGATGCCTTATTCGCCAATGGGCTACTACCCACCATACGGCGCTCCGCCGTATGGCATGCCGCCTCACATGTATCCGCCTTATGGACATCCACAGCATCCCTCCCCTCCGCCACAGCACCCTCCCTCGAAGCGGCCGACCCCGAAGCCCCAGCCCGAAGAAGAACACCATCCGCCCGCTGCGCCCGCTCCACCCCCACCACCGCCACAATCCCAGCCGCCTCAAACTCCGGCTATGCAGATGCAACTCCAGCCAATGCAGCAGCCAATGCAGCAGTCATTACAGCAGTCATTGCAGCAACAACAGATGCAGCAGCAACTCATGCAGCAGCCCATGCACCAGCAGCTCATGCAACAGATGCACCCCATGGCCATGATGCCTCCGCCTCCGCCTCCGCCTCAACAATCTCCGCAACCCGACCCAAAAGAAGAGGGCATGCTCTCTAAGCTCGAGAAGCTCTTGCTAGGCAAGGAGGAGGAAGAGAGAAAGGCAGCAGAGAAGGCGAAGAGAGACGCCGAGTTGGCCAAATTTGACCGTCTAGAGAACCTGCTCATCTCTCAACAAGAAGCCAAGATAGAGAAAGAGAAGGCAAAGAAAGAGGCTGCCGAGAAGGCTGCACAGGAAGCTGCCGAGGCAAAGAAGAGGGGCGACGAGGATAAGCTCGCCAAGCTCGAGACCCTCATCCTTGCCCAGAAAGACGAGCAACTCAAGCGTGAGGCGGCCGCAGACGCGGCTCGTGCAGCCGAGAAGGCAGCTGCAGATGCAGAGGCCACCAAGATTGCCGAAGAGAAGAAAGCCGCTGCGGAAAAGGCAAAGTCACTGCTCGAAGCAGCGCAAAAGGCACGCGAGGAGGCTGAGAAGAAGGCGGCCGCGGAAGCGGAAGAGACCAAGAAGGCCCATGAGAAAGCTTTGGCAGAGGCAAAGGCCGCTGCAGAGGAGCTGGAAAAGGCAAAGAAGGCCGCGGAAGAAGAGGCTGCGAAGTTGAAGCCTTCCGACGCTCCCAAGGCTCCAATCAAGTTCAAGGACGCCGTTGGCCGCAAGTTTAGCTTTCCATGGGACCTATGCAAGACTTGGAAGGCAGGTCTCACCAATAATGAATTCAAGTCCAATACTAACATTCTATCAGGGTATGGAAGAACTGATCAAACAAGCTTTCCTGCACGTCGATGTGATTGGTCCTCATGTTCATGAAGGCCACTACGACCTCGTCGGACCTGATGGCGAAATCATCCTGCCCCAGGTTTGGGAAACCATGATTCAACCTGACTGGGCCATCACCATGCACATGTGGCCAATGCCTGAGCCTCCACCACCTCCGCCCGAGCCGCCGAAGGAGGCATATCCTCCGCCACCGCCCCCTCCACTGGATGCTCAAATGTTCATGTCAAGCCATCTTCCACTAAAGGGAAAGGGCAAGAGGGACAAGAGCAGAAAGCGAGAATCTCTCTCACATGCACACGTTGTGCAACTCCCACCCCCTCCAGTCGGCTTGCCTGCAGGAGCAATGGCTCCTCCACCGCCACCGCCACCTCCTGGGCATCCTGCTGGCGGTCCGCTGCCACCCCCTCCCGCAGTTGTCGTTATGCCTAGCGGTAGTGGCAGCTCTGGAAGTTCTTCTCGCAAGAAGCCCGCCCCGTCACCGTTCTTTAGATGGGCAGCTGGTACCACCGCTCGCAAGGATTCTGTCAAGAAAAAGAAGTGAGACTGAAACACAATGCAGTTGAACCTGAAGCGGTGGTATATTGCGATCGATCCGGTGACACATCCTGTGTTGTGTTCCTCGTTCGCGTCGCAAGTGACACCTTCGCGTCTTGTTTATCATCGTGTACATGCGCTTGGCTAGTCTTATATCTCTTAGCCATTTCCTCCGTGCTTCCTTCGCCAAGCTATGGACATGCTGTGGCAGCGTCAGGAACAGCGCGTTTTTGCTTTTCAATTTATCGTATGTGGACTTGGGACTGTTTGTTTATGATTGTGCAGAAAAGCTCAGATATGTTGGTTTAGGCTACTTTCTGATCAACAAGATACCATGGTCGTTTAGCGTTGTACATTTCGTATTGCGTATCGCTTTGGCTTCTGGAATACGCCTTGTGCTTCGGCGTTGGCGTTGTGCTCAAGTTTGTTTGGTCCTTTTGCAATCGCAAGCGGATACACGGACGACGGACTGTTGATTTTGGCTGTCGCGATGGAAGGTGATGAGAATATGAGAAATGGATCTATACAAACCAAAGCGCACGTTCTCGCTCCCATTGCACCTTGGTCGGGACTACACGTTTGGGATACCAGCAACGTTTAGGAGACTCCAATGGCTTTACGTATTTTTGCCTCGGCCACAATACTTGTCCGGACACTTGCTCGACACGTTTGCAAATTCTAGATGGCAAGTATAAGCTTATGGGGGAGGACTTGGAGAAGATTGAGGCTGAGTTGAAGCGGGGACCGAAGGCCACGGCGCGATGCTATCGACAACCCAAAAACACGTCCAAGAAAAAGGCCAATGAGGCACCCGCGCAGAAGCCCAAGAAGAACGCTAAAGCTGTGACGGAACGTCGGGTGTCACTTCGGAGCAAGGCCGCTAAAGAACCCGCAGAGAAGCCTAAGAAAGCCACTACTAGGGCGTAACGTCGGGTCTCTAGCAGGAGAAAGTAAGTTGCGTCGGTAGTGATAGGAAGGATTTGTGGTGGGATAAGTTCGGTAAGTCTTTGAAGTGTTGTTCTATCTGTTGCAAGCCAGTTGAAGAGTTCTCATGTTGCCCCAACGTCCAATTCTGCCGTGAAGTCTTTCCGTATCGTCAAATTTTCGAAGGTTTCCTGATTTTCAATGACCAAGCCTTGTTCGTTGGCCAGATGCAGCAAACAAATAAAGCAGTAGCTTGTAGAGATGTCGGCCATGGTTTGTTTTGGGTAGACGGCCTGTAAGCTGTTGACAACGTCGGTAAAGGTCAACGAACCATCCACGGCTTTGTTTGCTGGATCGTCGGCGACATTGGGCTGAGGAGGCGCGGAAATCTGATGCTTGTGAGCTTGCGGGTCAGATGAAGAGGGCTAGATAAAAACTTACGCCATCGAACCCGATACCCCTCCAGAGTTCGTCCTTTAATCTTTTCACATCCACCTTCTTCGCGACCCTTGCGTACTGGACGTATTCAGGCCGAAATCGCCGGCTTTGCGTCACTAGCTGTGCACCGAATGCGTCGGTCTGCGAACCCGGTTGCATGCCGTCGAGTGGTAGTGTAGCTTCAGGTGCGTCAGGCGGCGGCGAAAAGTGGTCGCGAGCATCTGCAAACACGTCGTCATCGTCGAGAGGGCCACTAGGCATCTGGAGACCATCATCCTGGAAGAAGTCGGCATCGTAGTTACCCTGTGCATCATCGCCGTCGCCTTCTTGACCCTGATGAGCCCAGTATGCTTCGTCCACGCGTGCTGAATCTCCAGGAAGTGCATGTACACGGCGTCCTCCCTTGCGCGAGCCCATGCGCGCCTTGGGTTTAAGGAAAAGACGCAGCAGCTGTTTGGAGTTGAAATGCTTGTCGTCTGGGAGAAGGTTGCGCGACCTGGACTTCCATTGTGCTTTGGGTAGAGATATCGTTGAGTTGGATGTCGCAGGCGTGTAGAGCACATCTGCTAGTGTCTGCGACATTGGAGCTGTGAAGTCGATCTCGAATGGCTCCCTTTCCTTCCGTTTCGTCGCCGGTGCTGTCTTTGCGGAATGCTTGACTCGTGAGATGCGCCAATGCTCAGGCCCTGCCCAGCTCTTCTTGAGAACTTGGTCAAAATAGCTAAGGATATTCTCTTGTTCCTGGTCGCGACCGTGCATCATGGACACGCCATACTGAGCGTCGGCACTGTCTGTATTCTCGTCGCCATTCAGGTCCATGGTGTGAACGCGAGCTTGTGGATATTGAATAGCCTCACGAGCCCAGACCTCCCCGCCTTCGCCAAAGCCGGTCTCTGGAGGCAGATCAAACCCGCCCATATTCAGATCATGATCGTCATCAAATTCCATAGGGTTATCATCGCCGAGAAAAAGACCTGATTGGTTGCCCGCGTTGTCCTCTCCGCCCTTGGCTTCGTCTTCACCGGAGGAGTTGTCAGCAGCCTTGAGGAAGGGAAGGTCCATAGAGCCATTCACATCGCCGAGATCGAACGTCTTCATCGAGGGACACACGTCTTGCCGGTCGAGCTGGGAAAGATCCTGGAAGTACTTGGCAGTCAGGCCGGATATGTCAACATCGATGGCGTCAGGAGCGAGCTGATGGTCATGAGTTGCGAGTGCGTCTTCGGGAGCGCGAGTAGCATGTACGTCTTCGGTGGCCGCATCGTTGGCGTCGTCGCTACTGTCGAAGACAATCCTGCCCCTCCCGTCTATAGCGAGGTGGTTAAGAAGGAGTCCTTTGGCCCCGCCCTCGTCGAAGTCCGCCGACGCTTTCTTGAAGAGTGGATCAACCGAGAACTCGAGCTCCATCTTCTTGTTCTGTAGTTGGGCAAAGGATGACGCGAGCGTGGCTTCGGCAGACCGAGCAGCCCTCTTCTTGCGCTTCTTCTGGCCATCCTCTCCGGCTTCAGCATCCTCGCCGTCGCCGTCGTCCTCATCGCTCCCGTCAGCATCGTCGCCGTGTCCTCTCCGCTTCTTGCCCGCATTCTCGGCGAGTCCGCTGAGCAGCTTGCCCGTGTCGGTCGCAACGCTGTCGACTCTGCTGGTGTAGATCTTGACGCAGCCGTCTAGTGTGCAGCTCGCCTTCTGGAAGTTGACGCCATCGCCCTCTTTGAGCAGGGACATTTCGTGGAAGTAGTCGATGAGGGCGAAGTTCCATGAGTTGTTTGCGTTGATTTTCTGAGCGTGGCGTTAGCTTGGAGCAGCGACGACTGGCAGCCATGTATGCCTACATTGTCCGTCGCCATCTTCATCCATTCCTCAAAGTTGGCCAGCAGCGGCATGACGCGGGTCCCCGGGGTGACAGCGGTCCCGGTGATGTCGGGCATGTCGTCCTGATCTTGCGACGGCGTGCGAGGACTGTCGTGGCCTGCGGCCAGCGACACGCGCCGGCGTCCGGGAGTCGCAGCCGCCGTCGCAGTCGTAGTCGAGGCGCGCATCGAGTTGCGCTGGGCCTGTTGCTGGGCATGGCGGCGGGCGGCCTTTTCCTGGCGGTCGTCGTTGAGCGGCACTCTGCGGGCAATGTGTTAGCCTAGGGTTGCGCGTGCTCGGAGCGTTGTGGCCTACTTGACAGGTGTCTTCTGCGGCGAGGCGGCCGTGGTGTACTTGGTGGTGCGCGCCATGTCGGGCGACGGGTGTGGTGCTGCGACAACAACGGTGCTGGTGTCGATGTCGACGTTGCTCTTGTTTGTTTGGGCGCCACAGATGCCCGCCGCTCATGACAGGCAGCACCGCCACACGCTAGCGCAGTGACGGCATTTCCCCGGACCAGCCAGCCCCAAACGCTTCACGCACCGCCCTCCGCTGGCTCGCCGCCTGCTGTGCCTTCACGCCTCGCACCGCTTAAAACTCGCCCTCGCGCCGCCCGCGCCCTCTCCTCGACTCCTCCAAGAACATGCCTCGGCCATGGACGACCTGACCATCCTCACCAACGCCCAGCGATTGCGCCGCCCACGCTACTCGGCGCGCCCCTTCGCCCTCACCATACTCGCCATCTCCCTCATCTCGCTGCTGGCATGGGCCCGGTCGCAAGCCCCAGCCGGGCGTGCTCTGCGCACGAGGGAGGCCGTCTCGACCAAGGACGCCGAGTGCCGCCTCGTCCACCACGCTCTGGACCAATGCGACTTTGTGCGCGCAAACTGCCCCGATGAGGAAGCTGGCGTCATATCCTACCTTACCCTCTACTACTGCCGCCTCCCGCATGCGAAGCCCGTCGCCTTTATCCTGATGACGCTCTGGCTCGCCCTCCTCTTCAGCACCATTGGCATTGCCGCAAGCGACTTCTTCTGTATCAACCTCAACACCATAGCGCGCATGCTGGGCATGAGCGAGAGCTTGGCCGGCGTGACGCTGCTCGCCTTTGGCAATGGCAGTCCCGATGTCTTCTCCACTTTTGCCGCCTTCCGCACCCACGCTGCCAGTCTGGCTGTCGGCGAGCTTATCGGTGCTGCCTGCTTCATCACAGCTGTTGTCTCGGGCTCCATGGCCCTGATCCGCCCTTTTCAGGTTGCGCGCAAAAGCTTTGTTCGTGACGTCGGCTTCTTTCTTGTGGCTGCTGCCTTCAGCATGGGCTTCATTGTCGACGGCAAACTCCACCTCTGGGAGTCTGTGACCATGGTGGCCTTTTACATCTTCTACGTCGCCTTTGTTGTGGCCTGGCACTGGTGGCTCAACCTACGAAAAGCGCGGCGCGCGAGAGCTGCCGCTGTCAGGAGCCACTACGTAACACCTGGTGGTGAAGAGGAGGAGTTTCCAGAGTACCACGACGACGAAATCAGCGCTGGTCCTGGGACCCCTGCTTACGGCGCCTCCGCTGACGACTTTTCCATGCTCGAACGCGCAGGAGGCGACAATACTATACATGACGATGACAACGAGGAGGAACGTGAGCGCTGGATGGGCGAGTTGACCAACAATATGCGCGTCAACCGCCCAAGTGTGTCGCGGCGCAACACTCATACCCCGATCCGACCCAGTTTAGTAGGAGCTCTGGAGTTCCGAGCGGTACTTTCCTCACTGCAAAAGTCGCGCAACATCCAGTCTATGCCAATCAGCCTGCGACGGTATTCCGACGACCCTACCTACACTACTGCCCAGCAGCAATCCTACATCGGACAGACTACAGGTCCAGCGACTCGGCCTCCATTTGACCTGCCTTCTTCTGCCTCCAACAACTCCACCTCACCCCACCTGAGCCGACCGAATCTCGAGATCCAGCAGAGTCTAGGCAACCGAGCGCGAGCTGTCTCCACGAATGACATTGACAATGTCCAACTGCAGCCAAGCACCCTGCAAGGACAATGCGTTCCTGACATAACATTCGCGTCTGCCACTCCCAGCGAGCGTAACGGATTGTTGGAAGCGCCGCCCTCGCCAACTATCTCGTTATCTTCGCCAGTCTCCCACTCTTCTAGAGCCCCAAGTCCTACGGCACCGAGAGATAGACTGCTTTCACCCAACAATTTGGCGCCTCCAGGTGCTGAGGATGGAGCGCCCCTTCGTGTAGTCCTGCCATCGCCGAATCTACGATCAAGCCCGGCATCAAAACCCGGCCATGGCGTCGAACAGCCTAGTCTGAAGCTGGCCGTACCAGATGCGACGTCCCCACCGATACCATTCCCACCTTACACCGATTACCCTTGGTCAGCACAATCCACTTCCAGACCTCAGAGTCTACGTCCGCCTTCGCCAAGTGTGTCACTCGAATCTACCTACTTCCCACGAGATTCCTTTGGGCAGCTCGAACCAACAAAAATTCCCACGTGGTGGCCCTCGGGACTTCTGCCGACCCCGCATAGTCTGGTTGCTACCCTCTTTCCCACTTTGACCAACTGGCGTGATAAGAACGTTTTCGATAAGCTTTTGGGGCTAGTGGCAAGTCTGCCTGTATTCCTGCTTACCATAACGCTTCCGGTGGTCGAGCCGCAAAAAGACGAGAACGACGGAGGTCATGCCCAGCTTTCCCTGGATTTCGGTATGCCACCCGCAGCTACACCGGGTGATGCAAGCATGAGATCGCAAACCCCCAGTGTATCCCTCGTCTTGCCACGAGACGATCCCACCAATCCGGGCTTGTCGAATTCGAAATCGTCTACGAGCCTTCCTCGACAGCTGGACAGTGGATCCTTCAGCACCACCACCAGCCAACCACCGCAAGTGTACATTACAAGCTCCGACAACGTAGCGCAATCGCCCGAGCAGCTCCCGGCAACCTCAACATCCATCGGGCCAACGCAATGGAACCGCTGGCTGGTGATCGTCCAGATCTTTACGGCGCCCTTTTTCTTGGTACTAGTCGTCTGGGTAAATGTCGAACCCGACAACCCAGTTGTGTTGCTTCGTCACTCGCTTTACAGCATTCTTGTCTCACTCTGCCTTCTTGCCTTCCTCCTCTTGACCACTGCCTCGAATCAAGCACCAAATTGGCGGCCCGCGCTGTGCTTTCTTGGATTTGCCGTTGCTATCGCATGGATCAGCACTATTGCCAACGAAGTTGTCGGTGTTTTGCGTACCTTGGGCGTTATACTTAACATGTCCGACGCGATTCTCGGCTTGACCATCTTCGCAGTTGGCAATTCGCTTGGTGATCTTGTTGCCGACATCACCGTTGCGCGGCTCGGGTTCCCTATCATGGCACTTTCAGCCTGCTTCGGTGGTCCAATGCTTAATATCCTGCTCGGCGTAGGGCTTAGTGGATGTTACATGATCATCACCAAGGGCGAGCACCGCCATGAGAAGCATCCAGACCAGTCGGTTCATTTCAGACCTTACCATATTGCCGTGAGTACCACCTTGGTCATTTCCGGAGGCACTCTGCTCGTGACGCTAGCTGGACTTCTCCTTGCGGTGCCTTTGCGCAAGTGGCGAATGGACAAGAGAATTGGGTGGAGTCTAGTCGCGTTGTGGTTAGTAAGCACTACTCTCAATGTAGCTGTAGAAGTTCTAGGTTATAGTAGCAATGTTAGCTAAACACTATTCTTTTATATACTCTCTATAAAACCAGAGCAGCTATGTACTATATTAAGTCTTATCTCTACAGTGTGAAGACTTATTGGAGGATGGATGCCGGAAACCAATTCGAATGCCACCAAGCTTCCATGCGTCTACATCATGCATGATTATGTACTTCTAGCCTGTCTTACTCGGATTAATAACCGCGTTCCCAGGTGCGTCAGAAATGACGTCGTGGCTGCATACTCTTGCCGTCTCATTGCCCCCGCCATGAAAACCAAGAAGCTGATCTTACAATACATACATGTGCACTTTGCTTCCGCATTCACATTCGGAATCTTGCTACCTACACACGCATTTGTCGTCTCGCCCACCGAGTACGTTCAACATGGGCTGTGGTCAATCATCGTTTTGCGTACACGGCGACGAAAACAATGGTAACCGTAACAATACCAACTGTACAGGTTGCAAGGATTGTAGGTTTGAAATCAGATCTCGAGGGTAATGACACTGACTTTTCCTTCTCACATTCAGGCCAAAACTGCACGGATTGCAAAGGTCAGCTCCCGGCAGACGATGTTGCGGACTGCACACAGAGTGCTTCTTCATCCTTCGATACCACGAACCAGGCAATGGCGACTTTTGCATTCGTACACTCGATATTTTTGGAGGATGTGACAGACTTCAAACATCTGCTAACCATGATATAGACTGCACAGGGTGTCGAAACTGCACCGACTGCAATGATAGTAGCAGCTGCCACAACTGTACCGGATGTGATAACTGTGAAGACTGTAACAACTGTGTAGATTGCAACGACTGCACAAAGTAAGCAACGCATTCCCTGCATGAAGCATGTGATAGGTGGAAAGACTGACGGCAATAGTTGCTCCAACTGCACCGATTGCACGGGTCTCAAGGACGCGCACAATGAAACAGGCGTACACAAGTAATTTGAAGTGATGGTGAACATTGTAAGCGGACATCTGGAGCCGGTAGTCTTGGACATGTCTTACGAGTAATGGCAATAAATTTCATCTATACAGTGTCCCAAGACCAACACTTGGACTGGTCCTCTTCATGCACTTTACTCAACCCACCCCTTCTGTTTTCGCGACCCCACTTTCACTACTAGCATTGTAAGCAGTCTGTCAAGTGTTCTGTAACGTTGCGCATGCACTTATGCATTACACTGTTCTAAAACAGTAACACATCATCAACAGTATTAAATTGCCTCGTCTAAGCTCTCTTGTTCAAGCTTGCAATACCATTACCTACGACGCAGTCGAGAAAATGAAGTCATTCAAGGACTTGATCTCAAAACGAGGCCAGGAAAAGAAGGCAAGTCTAGCAAGTGATGATTTTGTGCCGCACCTTGTGCGAGGATACGGCCATAGTCAGAAGAGCAATAAAGCCTCACGGCCGCTGCCACACAAGATACTAATCGAGGGGTTTGACCGTTCAGATGTGCCGAATGTTGTGCTTTGGCCGCCGACACCTCGACCGAGTGGTGTGAAAATAGAAGATCTTCTGTTCGAACGATCAGGGTCTTTCTTCGTCCTGCGCGAGAAAACAGAAAGGATAGAAGCTCGAAGTACACGCTCAGTCGTTGGGTGCCTCCAAGTACCTGCCTGGCGCAAGACAGATACCCGCAATTACAAAGACACGAGAACATCTAGACAAGACGAGAGCGCTCTGGATGAAATAGAAACCTGAAATGCATATTAAGATGATATGTGTCGAGTCGATTGCTGTGCCTTTGTGGCAGGATTAGATAAGATTCTCTAGGATGTAGTGCAAAACGCTTAGCTTGTTACATGTCACTTTGTCTTGACACGGAACTCCCTTCCTAGAGGTTTGATGAAACTAGAAGGGCCAAGTAACTATAATCGTAGAAAACTTGTCAAACTAGATACGGTATAGGACTGCGTATTGCGGACACAGTGACGCGTACAAAGCCGAGTCCCATGCGCTCTAGAGCGAAACTACTGCCTACGGAAATATCGAAGCAAACTCTGATAGCCCTACACAAGTCTGTCTAGGCGTTTGATATCATTGTACATTCCAAAATCGGTCTATGTAGTGCGCCTCAAAAAAGAGTGTGTCTTTTCTATGGGTACTGCTCTATCCAGCTCGCAGCACTAGTTATTGTTAGTACAACGTAATACAGCTCTCTGAGATGCAACAATGAAGCTTCCTCTAACGAAGGAAATACTAAATAGTTGGCATTGTAAGCCTCTTAGGGAACTGCTTGTTATACCTCTTGAAGATGGTAATGGGATACTAGAGCGGGTCGAAAAGCACTACTCAACAGGAGGAGCTGCGAAGAGACTCCTCATAACCTTGGAATAAAGAACTAGGGCAGTATGCGTGGAATCGAAGACAAGCAGACTTAGAAGAGTCATGGCGCCGGAATAGCATCGGGTGGTAGGAGATAGAGCGATGAAATGTTTTTGATGGTATACACCTGCTAACATCTGTGAAGACGTAGCCGTAGCTCCGGTATCTACCTGATGTCATTGCATATATGAATATCAAAAGTCTCCGCCAAGGTCGAACTCCCAGAAGTCAGGAAACGACCAGCCGCTCATATCTGACTGCATGTCCTGTAGTGCATCAAATGATCCATACGCTTCCTTCGTGCTATTACTTGTGTTGGGTTCCACGCAAACCCCATCTAGTGACGTGGTAAGCGCACTCTCAGCTGTCATTGGCGTTGAAACTATTTCTTCCCTAGTACTCATAGTATTGCGAAGAGAAGACGCCAAGCGACTCAGGGGATCTTGTTGTAGTGCTAGTACTCTGAAAGCCAACGAGGTAAACCAGTCGAGCGTTTTGTGACATCTTGAGAGTACGTCATCGTTAATGTTGTTGCTGTAGGCTATGGAGGTAGCAGACGATGGAGGAGGAGGCAGCATGCCTACTGCAGCGGACATGCTGTGCATACGAGAACCAATCAGCGAACCTTTGCTGTGAATTATTGACACAAGGACTTACAGCCAGCATTCCATGTACCCTGTACCAAGCCGGAAGACCTTGATCTCGAAAATCTGTCTCGTTCGCTCTAGAATGTCCATCGAGGATACACATAGTGTTCTTGCAAGGAACGACTCCTGCGGTAGTGTTGTGAGATATAGGTCTAGACATGTATTGGAGGCTGCCAAGCGCCGTGGCCTAGTTAGGTCTGCAAAATGAGCGTCATGGTCTGCACTGTGATTCGTAGAATCTGTTGCAGGGGTAAGGGACGATTTTACTTTTCGAAGAGTGCAGTTGTGGTAGACAATCTGCGAAAGTATCAGACCAGCCCTGATGATGTCGTTGCGAAAGTTGTTCAGCGCTAGAACACCTCTTGATAGCAAGCGATCGTGCGTGGTGACCAGAGAGCTGCACGTATCTACGCAAGTTGTGAACGAGTATAGGTAGCGATTGTCTGTGCAGGCTAATTTGGCGTAGGACTTGTGCAGCAATAAGAGATACTGTCGCAACTGCACCTGGAGGAGTGCAGAAGGTACGAGTGCGCGATCATCATTCCAAACGGGTAGTGCAGCCAATGCAGAGCGGATCTGTGCGTCGTATTGCAGCACGTCGTCGTAATCGAGAACACTGGAAGGGGTGTTTAATACTTGTGTCAGATGAATACGGAGTGGAAGTGACTTTGTAGTTGCGATGAGGTATGAAGCTGATGTGAAGTTCTCGTCGGACTGCAGGATGTTAGTCTCACAGGGAACATTTTCTTCCGAGGTTCGTTCTACATACCGCCGGCATGTGTTGCATATCTGGCGAAAAGGCTTCATCGCCAAGATTATCAGGGACAGGCGAGTCCCAGTACAGTCCGGTGAGCGAAGACTGGATGCCACTCTCGACGGACGACTGAAGCTCCAGCTCCATGACGGTAATCCACAGACGCTTCCTCATTTGCTCATCGAAAGCTGTCATCTTACCATGTCCGAGCAGAGAAGGATCACGGTGTAGCCCAGATGCAAGGGAGAGTCTAAGTAAGTCACCAGATGCGACCCAGTCCTGCTTCAGTCGAACGCAATTAACACGCTTCGCAAGTAATGACAGGCACTGTAGCTGGAACAAAGCTAAAGTAACCCGCTTGCGCGGCTGATCAGCGATCCAGCTGTCGCATGTGTCAATAAGCTCATGAGCCGCTTGTCGGTCGGCAGTCGTGTCGCCAATAAACACATCATCTTTCGGGTTAAGGCACTTCGTGGCTGCGACGAGCAAGACGAGCAAGACGGCGAAGCTGACCGGTCCCTTTCCGTCTCGATCTGATTCCCAGTAATTCCGATAATCTTCCCAGAATGACGGTCCATGCAGGATTTTATAACTTGTTTCCCACGTCTGGAAGTAGAGAGCCGCCTGCACATCAACTATGCTTTTCTCCGGAAGGATAGCGAGTATCTCAGAGTCGATGACAGAGCATCTAGTGGTCTGCCTCTTTGCGGACTTCTTCTTCTGATCGCGAAAGGCTTTGAAGTCGGTTTTGACACGCATGATGGAGTGATCGACGGTCAAAGCCTCTCGCGTAAAAGCTTGTAGTTCGTGATACTTGGTAGTGGTCAGTTTCTGTCACGTTGATGTCAGGCCTGTGAATTTACCATGGAGATCACGCTCATGATGCTCGTTGCGCCATTGAACTGTGACCTGAAACCCTTTCCCCTGAACATGATTTCCTCTGTGATCTTGGGTTCATGGGGCACAAAATCCTCATATTGGGAGGGATTACTACCGCCATCCCGATTGATGAGTTTCTGTTCCAGAATGGCGATTCGTCTGTCTTGTATTTTGAGTTTCCGTTGTAATGCATCCGGTGCGTCCGAAGAGGGCTCGCTCTCGGCTGGCAGCTCTGCAAGCGCAAAAGACGCAGCAGTGCCCCTGTCACGGTGGGACTCTTGAAGTAGCCGGGGGTCATAGGTACACTCGTGACCTCTGTCGTTCTTCCGACACCGGCCGCATACTGGAAAGACGCGATCACACTTCATCTTGCGGTTGCGACAAGCGTAGCACGACAACACTTTGCGCTTCTTGCTTGTGCGTCGCTGCGACAAGCCATCATGACCTTCTGGGGATTCCTCGCGAGACCTGTCGCTAATCCATTCGGCGCCGGGAGCGGACATGGCATATGACGGATAGCAACTAGGGACTGCGATGCGCGTTGACAATGGCGAAACAGGTCGGACAAGGCGGAGATCAGATGGAGATGAGGCAATAGGTTGGAGCGCACAGACTCGGACATAAGACGGAGATGCAACAGACCGCCCGGTCAACCATTGCCGTACGCTCAGGCCGCCATAGCATTCACCCATCCTGTCAATAGTGTAGCGTCACCAGTGCTGACGCTTCAATATGTGGAGACGCCGGCATTTCGACGCACTCATCGGGTCTTGTGCCTAGGATCCTCTTTGTGCCAAAGCGGGGAATCCTGGTCATGTCTCATTACCAGTCTCGTGGTATCAATAGCATCGTCGACATACCCCTCTTCGGTACTTATCTTTCATATAATTGATGATCAGCTTGACTTGCCTTCATTTCCTCTTCGGCATTTGAACTCTCCGCTGTGCAGTGACAGCATGACCCATCGAAGACCTAAGATGCATTCTGGTCGTAGTTTTACAGGGTGTTACGAGAGCGGTTCCGAGGTGCTGATGCGCTTGCATCTGTGTAGGAGCTGCTGTTGGCTTGAGTGTTGATATACCCAGTTCGTAGTGCCCAGCGCCCAGCTCACGGCAGTGAGCTTCAAGATGCTTGGTATGCTTAGCCGGGTAGACAGCCGAACAAGAGGGTTATTACATCACATCGCCCGTCAGAGTGACCCTCTGGCTCTGATGACAATATCCAATAATTCCTACATTGCGTGGAGATTGCTCTGTAGACCTACGGGTGTTCGCATCGCACTAAGCAGTCAATTCATTCCATACGCTGTCCGCGTCCATGGGCGGACATGTTCTAGCCTCCAGTGAGATGAATTCCGACATGGCATGTACGGTCCGCGCATTGCTGATTTGTGGGAAGAGGCTTTGAACGTCCAATTGCAGCAGTTGAAGCGTGGTTTAGCATTTATTGACATCTCATCAATTGAAAGATAGAACATAGAGTACACACGCCGAAGGGTAATTAGATGGCTCCACGAAAAAGGGCATAAAAGACGTCTGGCAGTCCACTTGCCCCAATCTTCATTCAAAATTTTGTCAGTATCTGCCCAAGATATCACTGAGAACTCAAAGCCCACACTGCTCACCATGTATCACTACTTCGTCATCGCCGCGTGGTTTTACCACGTCGTTCACGCACAGCTTGTTGGTACTCAGCAAACTGAAACCCATCCAGGGATGACATGGCAGTCTTGCACCGCCAAGGGTAGCTGCACAACCAAGAACGGTAAAATTGTCATCGACGCCAATTGGCGATGGCTTCATGTCAAAGGAGGGTAATGGCATACAATCTGTTGGGTCGACTCAGCTGCTAACACATGACTAGCTATGACAACTGTTACACAGGTAACGAGTGGAACGCGACTGCCTGCCCAGACAACAAGGCATGTGCGGCCAACTGTGCCATTGATGGAGCAGACTACAGTGGCACATACGGCATCACCGCCGGCAGTAACTCCCTGAAGTTGAAATTCATCACGAAGGGTTCCTACTCCACAAACATCGGTTCTCGGACGTATCTAATGAAGGACGATACTACTTATGAGGTAAGTAACGTTCTCGTAGCTACAAACAGTGACTAGACTGATTTGAACAGATGTTCAAGTTTACCGGCAACCAAGAGTTCACGTTCGATGTAGACGTGTCGAACCTGCCATGCGGGTTCAATGGCGCTTTGTACTTTGTTTCAATGGATGCAGACGGCGGATTGAAGAAGTTTTCGACAAACAAGGCTGGCGCCAAATACGGCACAGGGTATTGCGACGCCCAGTGCCCACGGGATTTGAAGTTCATCAACGGCGAGGTAAGTCACGCTCGGTCCTAAGAATTGGGTTTCGGCTACTCAGAATGCTGCAGGGAAATGTCGAAGGCTGGCAGCCATCCCCCAACGATGCGAATGCAGGGGTTGGTGGCCATGGCTCGTGCTGCGCAGAGATGGACATCTGGGAAGCGAACTCTGTCAGCACAGCGGTCACCCCACACTCGTGCTCCACAATCGAGCAGTCTCGTTGTGACGGCGACGGTTGTGGCGGTACCTATTCGGCCGACCGTTATGCTGGGGTTTGCGACCCTGACGGCTGCGACTTCAACAGCTACCGCATGGGTGTCAAAGACTTCTATGGCAAGGGCAAGACGGTAGACACTTCAAAGAAGTTCACCGTGGTCACACAATTTGTCGGCACCGGCGACGCTATGGAGATCAAGCGTTTCTATGTCCAGAACGGCAAGACCATTGCGCAGCCTGCATCTACGATTCCTGGCGTAGACGGGAACACCATCACAACAAAGTTCTGCGACGAACAGAAAGCTGTGTTCCACGATACATACACGTTCAAAGACAAGGGCGGTATGGCGAACATGGCAAAGGCTCTCGCAAACGGAATGGTCCTCGTCATGAGCCTGTGGGATGACCATTACAGCAATATGCTTTGGCTCGACTCTACGTATCCCACAGACAAGAATCCAGACACGGATCTAGGTACCGGCAGGGGAGAATGCGAGACGACGAGCGGTGTGCCGGCAGACATTGAGAGCCAACATGCTGATGCCACTGTTGTCTACAGTAACATCAAGTTCGGGCCACTAAACTCGACCTTCGGTTGAGGGGGTGTAATGGAGGGAGGGAGCTGCATCGGAAAAGACGACCTCGGGAGAACGGGGGGGACGAGAGCGTGGTCTCATGCACATGGTTCGGTCGCATACTGAAGCCATAGTTGATCGCTTGGCAGAAGAATTCAAGGCGCGTCTGTATGCAGGTTGCAACGTGGAGGAAATTCTTCTGTGCACACCCTTTGATTTTTTCTTGAGTGATGACAGATCATGCAACGATGCCCAAGCGTCATTAGCGCGTGTCAAAGATGCGCGCTTCTCTCGACCGTTGAACAACAACACTTACGCGTGTTGCGTCGCGAAGCCATGTGTGTTCTTCTCGCGTACTGGCGTTGCCAAAAACGAAACCGGGACCACAGCGCGCGTGACAACCTACAATTTTAACGACACCAAGCATGGCTCAGCCATCCTTCCCAAAGTCACCATACTCGGTATCCATGGTTTACGTGGGACCAATGGCCCCGGAGGCGCAACTATCATGTCGCCAACAACACAAACAATGCTAAACCTTGCCTTACAGATGAACATTTCCAAGACACCGAGGCTATGCCGCAAAAGACACTCGATACGCTCGATGGTAGTCTCTAGGTGTACATTCAAGCTGTGTGCAACACTACGCTCTATGTAGTTTCTCAGATAGGGTCATAAGAGGACTGAAACGGAAAATGGCACAAATTACGCAAATAGCTGATCCACCGCTGGAACTGTTCCTCTGCCCTTTCTCGCCTTACAACTCTTCTCACAGCGCCTGGTACTGCATCTTCTTTCAAATCAGCCATGGGCGCTCATGTATCGATGAGAGTAGTCCTGAGGAGGGAAGAAAGCCTCCATCAGATCCTCGGCATCCACTCCTTTGTTGCCAAGGTTGCCTGCTGCGAGTGCAGCATCCATGATCAGGTCCCAGTCATCGCGATCTTCTGTGGATGGTTACTAACAGTCTTGACATGTGAGCACAAGAGCCATGTTTGGACAACGTACCAAATGCCACCACCAAGCAATCCTGCTTATTTCTATGACTACAAACCGTCTTCTCACTGGGGATGACACGCATGTGTTGTCGGCAATAGTAAAAGTGGTTGGCACGGAAGCAGGGTATATGAAAAGAGTCTTGAGAGCATTTGACATCGTTGGCCCGGCCTTCTGTAAGAACAAATCCGCTGACATGCATTAGTCACCATCATTCATTCATGAGCGCTCGCTCAGAAACCATCTCACCAAGATCTCAAGGTGCCCTCACGTTTGTGGCGGCGGTGTTCGGCCACGATATTCTCGATGACCATAGGAAGATAAGCTGCGTTGTCTTTACTACCAATGACCGGCTGCTGAGGGCGAACTGGGTTCAATGGGAGAGCGGCTTTTTGGGGGCGTGGTGTAGCATTCGCATCCACCAACTGAGCAGGGGGTGGGCGACTAGAACAATTGTTGTATCTAGAAGAAGCCTCCCCTGATGATAAGAAGCTGGTACGATCATACCTATCGTTACTCGTGGCGCCACCGGTATGTGCTCGTGGAGGCGTTGCGATGCGAATAGTACCGATCAGAGACTCCGGGAGAGGGAGAGGATTATCTAGGTTGGCAGTCGAACTCGAGTAACCACTATGGCTACTCTCAGAAGGTCCAGCAAAGCGGTTCGTAGCAATGGGGAGCTGATGTAGGAGTTGTCGCTGGCGGCTCTCCGCTTGTTGCAGACGCTGGCTTAGCGCTACAATGTGACCATCGTGTTCTTCACGGATGCTCAGTATTTCGTCGCCGAGTGCCTGGAGCTGTGCTTGTATTTGGCGAGGGTGTGATAGCCGTGAGTCCATATCGTAGACAGGATGCGCGAGTTGAGTGAGGAAGTGGCTAAAGACAGGTGTAAAGGCTCTACGGGCTGAGTCGACTGTTCAAGGAGCGGGATAAACAAGAGCTTTACTTCAAAGGCCACGTCCAAAGGCGAGAATATCTTGGCCAGGGAAAGTATACGTCATCTACATGCGGTGCTGTTGCCAGAACGAGACAGGCCTGGAATCAATTTCATTACGGACAAGCATTGATACTAGCAGACTAGAGTCGTACGTGATTGGAGTACTGGAAGTCCTTTAATCGAAGACGAAATTGTATTCCATTTCCTAGCTACTCATGCTAGTGTAGTTCATCTTATCTTCGTTGCTGCTTCGGGGGTACCTAGGTGGGATTCGGCGCCTCATCATATCGCTTTTCCTATCTGACAATACTAGTGTATCTCGCAGTGTCTATCTAGTACAGATTACGGTGCCGTACGTGACTACCTAGGTAGGACATAGAACCCAATAGAAGCGAGAAATCAGGGGGCTCTGGGGCAACTATCATATACCATACTCGGCCAGCAAGCTTGTGTAGTCGCCCTCCCAGCGCTCACTGCCAGACTCTTGTGTTTCCTCGTTGTGCGCGTCTGCTCTTATGGCGATTGTTACAGTCTCTCCACCACTCTTCATCGAATAATGCTCAAAGCACTCTTGAGATGGATCCCGCCACGGCTTATTCCGGAGGTAGCGTATCGAGCGTTTGCAACGATTCCAGGTGCTTGCTTGGTCCTCAAGACGGCCACGATTGACGTACTAGCTAGCGTTAGAGAAGCGAATATCTTGAACTCTGTCAAAGAACGCAGGACGTACCTCAATATTCCCATCCTGAGTTCTGCGGACCGCGACAGCGCTTTCCTTCGCTGCTTCTTCTGCCCTGAAAGTCTCTAGTACCGAGAGATGGCGCTTTTGCCATGGTGCTCGCCATTTGAGGTGACGCCAGTGCATGGTCTAGGAAGCAGTATAGACATCAAGTTGCGATGCAATACGATTTCTCTCCTCTGGAGGCGAAGAGAAGCTTCCGCAATGCGTAGATGAGTACCAGATTTCACACCGGGACTATACGGGATGTAGCAGCACGGGTGTCGAGTCCTTTTTGCTAGTACTAGTGACCGAACAACGTGAATCGCAATCTGGATTCTATTAACAAATTGTAGTGACAATGAAATTCATCGACATTTGCTTGTGCAACTAGATCGATGATGTCGCCTCTCACTTACAGAGAAGAACACATATTGAATGTCCAATGAATGGCGCTACACCTTCACTGGAGTTTTGTTTGTCACCACGAATAGTCGCAGGCTTGTTTACCTCATTTTAGCGGATTGAGAGCGTGTTTGGGGTATGTTCGCCTCCCCTTTCGCTTCTGCTCCAGCTCCATACCATCAAGTCGAATTTAAACACGCGTTACAATCACTCTCCGCCACCAGCAATCAGGAAATTATGTCGGCTCCCCCTCGCGCAAATTCTACTTCCCCATCAGCGTCCTCACCAACGATTCCGCGACTGGTGGAGAACCGCAACTATACGCGCTTTGCGGACGTCGGCTTCGGCAACCGGCTGGCCGACGCGCGCAACCTCGTACATACGCAGACACCCTCCATTCCCCTTCGTCCAGAACACACAACCGCTGTAGGATCAATTGCGTCTGAAGTCGCCAACTCGATTCGACGGGCTGCCTTGATCCCGCCTGGTGCGCCAAAACATGGATGGGAGAAGGGATCATACCGGTCACCCTTCGACTATCATATCCCTGGCCATACCGTAGGTGGCAGAGACACGCCTTCTAGTAGATCACATTCGCATGCTACTCTTTCGGGGCTCTCTTCATCTTCACCTCTCAACAGCATGACGCCAGCCTACACTTCGACGTCTCCTGCGGCGCAGCCATACGAGATATTCGATCCACCTTGCCGTACGGTTACTCCTGGTCCTGATGTAAGCTTCAAAAGGTCTTTTCTTGCTTGAGTTGTGCGACTGACTGCTTCCCAGGCAAGGGAACGTCTTGTTCTCATTGCACCCCTCCGCATAATTCGCGGAGCAGGAGTCCACCTTTGTGAGGATGACCGGGAGAAACTGTATTGTTTCATCGACGGTTACATGGCCGACTCGTTACACACTGTTGTCGAACGTGATGGCATCCTTCCCAATATCATTTACAAGGTCAGCATTCCCATGACAGACACCGCTTGGGTCAGCTACAACCAAGTTCTCGCTGCATTTGGGTTCGCGAATGGTGTGAATGAGATGCTCATTTCGGGCTCCGACAAATTCGACAAGTACACATATATCATCGATGATGTGAGCGCAGAGCACGAACAAGGTTGGAAGGTACTAGCGAGTTCAAGTGAGAGAAACCTCGACATGACAAGACTTTCGCAAGAGCTGGTGCAGATCTGGAAGGATGTATGGATCGAGAATGGATCTGGCTATGTCGGCGTGACGAAGGATTTTGTACGATAACGTGAGCGAAGGTTGTTACAAGAGTAGTAGGATGGATCCACCGAGAGAAGCTACCTCTGAAGCCTGTGGAATATTGCTTGCTGCTCAACAATATGATATAGAGTCTTTAAGGTATCCTTACACGGATTTGCTTGACTGTGAACTTTAGGCGTCTGGTTTCAAAACACACGCTTTCCTGTTTCGGAGATGTGTCGTTGTGCTACATAAAAGCGCGACGTGCTTTATATCCTAGAATGCATTGTACTGGAATAGTCAAAATGTATAAAATGCGTCGAAGTCCTTGGCCCCCGCAATTATTCGATTATCAAAGGTACTTGCAAATGACCTAAATCAGACAGGTAAACAGTGGTCATCTGTGTTGACGTTCGATCTCTGATGTCTTGTAGAGAGTATCCAGGTACCTAGATTCCCTGAAGATACGTATTCGGTAAACGTTAACACAACGCTACATCACTGCTGAGGTTGCTGGGCCGTGTCTAGTAGAGGTAGTATTGCGCCCAGTGGGATGTGATTGTGGCGCCGGTAAGCTTTCGCAAAGGTGAGAAGCGGGTCAAACAGCGGGCGAGAAGCATGAGCAAGCCCAACGATGCTGTCGTGGGTGCGCTGCGTACGCTACCTGCGCAGGTGCAATGTTGGTACTAGTGCAGCAAACATCTTGTCCAATCCGGAGACCCCGCAGCTAGCAACGTAACTTTTTTGGCCGACGCGAACTACCAAGGTACTGTTGCCAGGCATTTCAAGTTATACGTTAAGCATACACACGTTAGCCCACATCTCCCATTGCTTCCAAGGTTCGGTCGCAGTATTGTGCCGACTGGACGCGGCATCCTTTCCCCTTCCAGTAATATTTGCGCTTTAGAAGGCCGACCTGTTCCATTGCCATTCAGTCAAGCGTGTGTATCCATGTTGAAAGAGCCACGGACATCGGGTGATTGCCAATCCGGGCGATACATAGCTAGGCAGCGTCATGTGCACAGTTTACAGTATAGTACGTACAGTACACGGATAACGTTCGATCAAGCATAGCTTCCGGAACTAAACTCTGCTTCCCCACAACTCGTCTATTACCCTTGTCCCAATGGCCATACGCCACCAGAACTATTGAAACACTCGTGTCTGCTCGTGACATTATGTAGCGCGGTGCTCCTTTTCCGTCAATGAGCGATGAGCCTTTTGCGGTTGACCCAGCCGGCAGGTTGTCAGGAACATACGGGAGAATCTGCTGATGCGACTATAAATTCCAGGCATTCTGCATAGACGATTGCTCTTGTTGGCATCTGAGACTTGATCTGACAATACCGCCATGCGCCTTCTCAGTCTCGTAGGCTTTGGCCTATCCGCCTTGATCGTAAATGCGACGCTCCAGATTGTGCCTGGCGCGACTTGGACAGCAGTGCGTTTCGTCGTACCCATGAGCAAATGGCAACTGACATTACACCAGACCAACACAGGTCAGCACATTCAGGCTCACGGCGCCGGCATCATCAAAGATGGCGAAAAGTGGTATTGGTGAATAGCTCTACGCGCAAGTTCGGCCTCTACCGGTATTGACGCGCCCACAGGATTGGCGAAGATAAAACAAACGGAACCGCTTTCACGAACATCAACTGCTATTCGTCTACTAACCTTGTCGAATGGTCTTATGAAGGCGCTCTGATCTCGCGGACTGCATCTGGCGACACAGGGCCCAATCGTGTTATTGAGAGACCAAAGGTTATGCACAATAAGCAAACGGGCAAGTACGTCCTGTGGGCTCACATTGACAGCGCCGACTATGGTGAGGCGAAGATTGGTGTCGCAGTAGGCGACAGTGTTTGCGGAAAGTACACGTATCTACGCAGCGAGCGACCGCTGGGCTTCGAGAGTAGAGACTCTGGCGTGTTTGTCGATGATGACGGCAAGGGCTATCTACTGACCGAAGACGTATGACTGCCTCTTACCACACTGAAGACTTGTTTCTAACGAAGCCAGCGCCGCAACGGCTTACGCATCAACGCACTGTCTGATGATTACCTCAGCGTTGCCAGCAATGTCTACGTCTGGAAAGAAAAATACGAGTCTCCGGCCATGATCAAACACGGAGGCGTTTACTTCATGTTCGCCTCGCAGCTCACGGGATGGAGCCCGAATGACAACTACTACAGCACGTCGACGTCTCTCTCGGGTCCATGGTCATCATGGAAAAGGTTCGCCGACTCTGGGTCCAACACGTACGCTTCTCAAACAAGCTTTGTATTGTCTTTGGGGAATGGGTACGTGTACATGGGGGACCGATGGCACAGTGAAAATCTGATGAGGAGCACATACGTATGGCTACCCCTTGAGATATCTGGAACGACGGCTAGCATGAAGAACGCTGTCAACTGGATCCTGGACCCCGGCACCGGAGCCAGCAGAGCCGGACCCAAAGAAAACATGTACGAAGGTGAGACGGCAGAACTTGCTAACGGAGCCAAATCTCAAGCATGCTCCTCCTGCTCGGGCTCGAAGGCAATTGGATATATTGGCGGCGTGCCCTCGGGCTCTGCCACGTTTTCCAAGGTGGAATCTTCAGCAACGACCCGCACGACTGTGAGAATCAAGCATCTCAACGGCGACAAGCAGCAAAGGTATGCAGTCATCAGTGTGAATGGGAAATCGCAGAGGGCAGCGTTCTTGCCAGACGGCGGAGGAGGTCCGGCAAGTTCAGTGGTACACGTCAACGTGGAGCAGGGCGTCAACGAAGTCAAAATTGGCGGGATGGATCAAGGCTGGGGGCCGGACATTGACAGGGTGTTTGTTCCCGTGGATTGAGGATGGCGCAGGCGACAAAGCTTGGATGGCATGCGGGTGGGGCTGATGGAGACTAGCAATGTATTCATGATACGGCAAAGCGAGAGAAAGGCACGATGCTCAGTCAATTGACTTGCTCATGATGACATATTCGGCGGGGATGACCTTGTTCCTCGTCGTCCTGTCGTCGGGGCTGCACTCGTCCCTGATGTAGCCCAAGCTGTGGTACATGCCCTTTGCGCGCGTGTTTGCCGTGAAGACGGTCAGCATCGTCTTTCTAATGTGGCATGCGCGCGCCACGTTCTCGACGAACTGGATGAGGCGGGGCCCGAGGCCTTGTCCACGCAGGCGCTCGTCGAGGTGGATCTCGTAGATGTAGAGGACGGGGCGGTCTTGGTGTGGGGGGTCGTCGTGGGTGAACATGAAGGAGGTGAAGCCGAGGATGGCGTCGTGGCAGCTCTGGACAGCGGGGGCCGGGCGCAGCAGGAGATACATCATGTCGGCGTCGAGCATCTCGTCGCGCTTCCTGCGCGGGTTCCAGCCCATGGCCGAAGCCGCGTAGTCGTGGCCCGACGTGGCGTGGACGAGGCCGAGGCAGGCGTCGAGCTCGCCCGGGCGGAGGTCGAGGGCCGAGGGGACCCAGTGGAACGAGACGGGACACGGCCGCTCGGGAGCCTCGTAGGCGCTGAGGCCGACGTCCTGGCGCAGCAGCGTCTGCACCGTCTGCATGCGCGCGAGGGCCTGGGGCGTGTGCATGGTGAGGTGAGGCTGTGGCGTCTTGATCACCGTGACGGCGACGCGCCAACGACTCGCATCGCCAACCGCCAACCGCCAACCGCACCCGCCAACTGCACCCGCCAACTGCACCCGCCATGTCGACACATCGCACCGCCGCCATGCTGCGCGCCTATGCGACGGCCGCCTCCAAGCCGCCCTCCCGGCTGCGCGCACGAGGAAAGACTCCCGTGGGCCTGGACCACGTACCTGTCCCCACGATGCAATCGACCCAGTGCAACGCCCGCTGACGGTCCTGCAGTTCATACAGCGGCAGCGCGCCCTGGCCCTGTGGCGAGACATTGTCCGCAGCACGGCCAGCATCCCCGACGCAGGCGCACGACGAGACATGCGCCGCTTCGCAAGGTCCGAGTTCGACCAACACCGCTCCGTCACTGATCTTGTATCTCCACTGCCTCCCTCGCCTTCGTCACCCAGGCTGACCGCTGCACAGGGCCACATTCGATATCTGATTTCAGTGCGCCGCCCCTAGAACCCCCGCGGCTTGCCCCGGCCGTTTGCTAACGCCCACCCAGCATGGAAAGACACAGTTCCAGACTATCAAAGGCACCCTGATCAACTCCGGCCTACTCTCCGAATAGACATGACATTGTTCAGCCGCTGCCTTCCTGCACCTGCCGTAGTCTCTTGCGTTGCACCTTGTTCTTATTGGCTGCTCCTCCGAGGGGCATCTTCCTAGCGCATCGCATGTCAGCATCAGAAACGTCTACACCATGACATACCGCCTGCACATCTGTTCGTCGTCATTCTCACCCCGCCAACCCTGACCGTGCCCCGAATTTCGAACCTCGCCATGAATGCCCCTGTCGAGCCACAGTCCATCTGTGTCGTCGGCGCTGGGCCTGCAGGTCTGGCTGCTGCAAACATCTGCAAACAGTACGGCTTCGCAGTCACCGTCTACGAGGCCGCAGACCGTGTAGGCGGCATGTGGAGAGATGACCGCGGGGGGGTTGGTGACAAGTGTAGTCCAGAGATGCGGACCAACCTAAGCAGATATACTGTTGCCTTTTCTGATCTGGCTTGGACATCGGCACATGTAGATATCTCGAAACCTGCTGCCGATCCACTAGCTGTTCCGCCTATATTCCCCAAAGCGTGGCAGGTAATATCCGTGTACAACAACATGTTGTGAGACATTTACTGACTTCGTACATCCATCTTTAGGTGGGCCGGTATCTTGCAACATATTCAAAGACCCTTGGCATAACTGAAGACATACTCCTCGAGCACCGAGTTGTCAGCGCATCACTGCAAAAAGATGATACTTGGAGAGTGGTCAGTGCCGACAGCACCTGTCAGCTAACATCCCGTACCTTTGATCGGCTCGTCGTCGCCAGCGGCTTCTTTAACAAGCCAGCCCACACCTTCAATCCCGTCCCCTCCAAACCTCTCTCAAACATCCAACACTCCTCACGATTTCGGACTCTCTCTGCCTTGACGGAAACCCCCGGCAAGATAGTCGTGATTGGAGGCGGCATCAGCGGCTCAGAGGCTGCTTCACAGGCTGCTTCACAGATCTCCAACGCAAAGCACTCGCCTGGAGGAATGACACCCTCCCACGCCGATAGCAAGATTTTACACGTCATCAATCGTCCCTTCTACTGCCTTCCTCGCTACCTTCCACAAGACCCTCAGACTCACGACGGGCATTTCAAGCCAGCACCTAGATTCCTTCCCCTTGATTTGATTCTCTACAATCTGTCCCGTCGCGGTGATGGAGATATCTCTGCAGCTATCAGCACCGTTCCACCAGAAAAAGCCAAGAAAGGTCACGAGTTTTTAAGATCAAGTATAGGCTGTGATCAGGCCGACGTCGGCTTCTCAGAGCTTGTGTACAAGGCGAGCCAGACACAACACCCTGGCTACACTGGTATAACCGACACGTATATGGAGTTTGTCAGAAGTGGCATCATTGTGCCAGTCCGGGGATGGGTTGAACGTGTCGAGCAGGCAGCCAACGGTGATTGTCTAGAGATTAGTCTTGGCCAATATGAGCCCTGGTTCCAAGGGCCAGGCGCAAAAGCTGTGGTACTCCGCCTACTCGAGAGGCTAGGCGCATCGAAGAGGCTGACACTTTATAGGGCGAGAGCAGAGTGAGTGATGTGGTCGGTATCATTGAAGCCACAGGCTACAAAGCCGACCTCGATTGGCTCGACGCCCGTGTCCAATCCCTTCTCGCTGACCGCAACGACACCCCGAATTCGCGCATACCGTATCTCCTGTCACGTGGCTCGGTCTTTTCACAACACGTACCCACAATTGGGTTTGTGGGTTTTTACGAAGGCCCTTACTGGGGCGTGATGGAAATGCAGGCTCGACTTTTGGCTCAACGCTGGGCCAAACGAGAGCCTGAGCGGTCGGCGTCTCTGACTTCCGCCTTGTACAAGTATGATGACACGAGGCATATGCAAAACGCCATGGGTCAGAGGTCCCTGCAAGTGCCGCAGTTCTGGATGGCGGACTATGTTGGACTAATGGAAGAGTTCGCACGAGAAACGGGCGTCTCACGTGATGACACCCTATTCGGTGGCCAATCGGGTCCCGCTTTCCCATCGCGCTATCGACACACAAATAGCAGTCTGCAAGCCGAGGCAGTAGTCAGAGAAGTTGCCGGAGTACTCGAGGCATCTCAAGAGGATGCTCGGTTTGTTGCAGCGGCCGTGTTTACAGGCATGCAAGGTGTCTGGAAGATGACGCGCAAGATTGATTCACGTACTCAGACACCCGGTGGCATATTCGTGGGTACGGCCCACTTCCACCCGCGTCAGTCTACGGATGCTGCGACCTACGCCTCCGAATACTTGTATATTGAAGAAGGCACATTCACCATGGACACTGGTCTGTCGTTCCCTGCGACCCGTCGTTACGTCTATCGGTACAACGAAACAAGCGATGAGATTACCGCATGGTTTGTTGAAGACGATGAAAAAAGCGTCGGAAAGCTATTCAATACCTGGCGTTTCCACGCGCCTGATGACCAGGCTGGCGGCTGGATGGCTACAGGCTGCCATTGGTGCGATCCCGATACGTATCAAAATGACTGCGAATTCAAGTTTCGCGGTGCAAAGATCGATCGGTTCATGATCAGATACAAAGTGGACGGACCAAAGAAAGATTATTTGCATGAGAGCTGGTATGAGAGGCCAAAGGTAGATGGCGGAGCAAACGAAGGCGAATGAGGGGGTTGTAAAGACAGCGCAACGTTTGCAAAGGGCTATTCCATTGCGAATATATTGGGTGGGGTATCATATATCAATCGTCATATCGTACAGTAACACCTGGTCTTCGGGCCGGTCATGTATCTAGTTACTCAACACCTCCGTCAGCGAGCGAACTAGGATGGGTAGGTGGCCCATCCCTTCCTATGCTCTCAAGGTCGGCCAGCAGCATCCTGAGATGATTCTCTCGGTTCTGATTACTGCCCCAGGTCACCGCTTGCGAGTAGTACAGTATGTCCCACGCCTCGTCACCAATGTTTTGTAGGAAAGTGGGCAAGGATCGCGCTTTCTGGTACGAGCGCCAGAGTATCCGGCGGATATCATCGTTTGCGCCGACATATGCAAGCTCAATGGCTTTATTGAACGATTTCAGGGCGGGCGCAATGTTGAACGGCGGGGGGAGGTCGACGCGGAGGCGTTGGAGAGCGGCGGAGTGCTCTGGATCTTGGAGAGCAGCAGCCATACGCTCGCTGAGCGTCGCAGTGCGGCTGTCTGCGAGTTGGTAGGGGTCAGGTGCAGTTTCGTGGGCGATTGAAGTCAGATCGCCTTGCTGTTGCTTATTCTCGGAAATGAGCTTTTGTATGTACATTAGCTTCTCCATCAGCTTCGGGTCTTTCATAATCTCGTCAACCTTGGCCTGAAGCTCAGCGGGAACATCTTCTTCGTCCTCCACAAGCTCTCGGGGCTGCGATGCTTTGGACTGGGCGAGCTTCTTCAACTCTTCCGCCAATTCTTGGGGGTCCATTTCACGCTCGAACACACTCTCCTCATCTTGACTCGATGTGGAGTCTTCGTTGATCACTGCGTCGAGTTCGGCTTCAAGCCCGGCATCGCCACCAAACGACTTCATGACATCCCGCATCTGGTGCAGGAGCTTGTCCACGTCCTGCATGTCTTCGGGTGTTGCCATAGTCAGGTCCTCGTCTGGAGTCTCCATTCCAGCAATCGCGTCTTCGGTATCTCTCTGATATGTCTGCCACTCGCGCTCCAATTCAGAGTCGGGGTGTTTACGCATAGCTGCGACCTTGTTCTGCATAGCTTCGTTGCCCTCAAGCTTGTTCATTGCCTTGTTCAGCATAGCCTGGAACTCGGGATTGTCTATATTCTCCACTTCGGGCATGTGATCGATGCAAGCTTGCAGGTCGGCCTTTGCGTCTCCGATGTCTGGGTCCTTGAGGACGTCTTGTAGTATTTCAAGTGTCGCCATTCGCAAGCCGGCGTTAAACTGCTTGCTCTCTGCCTCTGCCTCGACGGCACCCTGTTGTTTCATTTGCTGGAGCTCCTCCCTCGACTTGATGCTTTTTTTGATGTCCTTGAGCTCATCTGTCAGTTCGGCGAAGTTTGGATTTGTCAGGAGGCTGTCGATGAGCCGTCGGTTCAATGTTGCGTCGTCATGGTCGGGGTTCTTCCGAGACTCTTCTATCATCAGGTACATGTCTCTGTCCTTCTTGCGGTCTTCGGGCGTGGCTATGCGCTCAATGAGGCGCTGCGGCGTGCCTTTGTCCAAGTCCTGCTCGTACCAGTTGATGACGGGCAGATCGTCGCGTTCGAGTTCGGCATCGGACAGTGGACGCATTGCCTGGTCCATTTTCGCATCATCCTCGAAGATGGAGCGTGAGCCTCTGAGCCGGCTTAGTAGCGAAGGCTTGGATTTCGTCGTTGCATCGTGCTCCGACTCGTCGGGACTGCTGGCTTTGGTGCGTTTTCCGCGGTGAAGCAGCAATGTTGGGGGGCGAGCGAAAGAACATGGTGTAGCATGAGCTCTCAGGAAAGCGCCTGAGCGTGTACACGTGCGTGAGAGCATCATGGCGAGCTTGATTGAGGAACGTGAGTGCCAAGTCGCTGTCTCCAAACTTGTGACGTTGTCTTGGCACCTCCGAGAACTCCGCAATTGCTTGTCGACACCGTCACCATCGACACATCACTACCCCCAACATCACCACCGTCACCGCAGGAACCAATACCGGCGCCGCGGCCGCTGGTCTTGCGCGCCGTCACCACGCGGCAATATGCGCCGGCATCGATTTCCTTCCACCAGCTCGCTCGTCGATTCCTTCTATCGACTCGCCCACGGACGCCATTGCGGGCTCAAGACTGTACAAGTCCACATCACAAAGCGGGCTCTACGGACAGGGAGGCCTGCTCCATGTAATGTGTCGCTATTCAATACACATGCGCAGGACGTGGGAGTGGAGTAATCTACCACGAGGCATGTAGCGATGTGGACGATATAGTTATTCACAGCTACTACAATCCTATGTGCGAATATCCGGAGCCAACGACCATAAAGACATTTGTTTCCATGTCTATCACAGTTTCAGCAGTTCTTACAATCACAGAGAGGCTCACAAGGGAGATAATCAAGACGACCGGCCGGCCTGAAATCCCGATTAATGCGACCCCAAAGGTAACGAGATAGAATCAGCGTCAACGTGGTAGGTAGTCTGCCATGGTCGTGTACATGAGCATATCTTAGCCTGTATGAAATGAGCTTGAGTACCTTGCGCGAGTACGGTAATTGAAGCATGGCTGCACAAGGTGAGATCAGGCAAATAGATATAGGGGTCTCGACAATCTCGCAGTTGGGCCGACCCAGGCCTATTTCTCCCGCGCCCGTACGCTGTGATGCTCTCCTCGATTCTTACTTGTCCGCATACGGAGATGGATTGGCTACCGTAGTTCTTACTTTCCGTTGTTGACCACTTTGCTCAGCGGGCTCCCAACACCTTTCTTACTAAAGTATTCGAGCCAACAGTAGAGCAGATGAATCCAACACAGTGTGAAGACACCTCGGGCTTCGAGGACCTTCTCCACAAATCTTTTTTCATATCTATGACCTGGAAAACGCTGGTCCTACCCAGTGACCTCGGACACAAGAGTGACCATGCGCCCCCGCCACGCCTGGAAAAACCGGCAGACGAGAACAAGTCGAGTGTTTCATACATACGGTCCTTTTGGCGAAGGCATGCCAAATGACGGATCCATACGCACAATGGACACTTGAAGCATGCTGGACCTCAAAGGGAAACGAGCATCAATCCGTAACCGTGGAAGATGGGCCCCATTTCGGCATCTACCTTCTTTCACCGGGAACTGCTCCTAATGATACTTCGAAGTGTTCAAGCATAAGCTTGTGTCCGCCTCAGCTCCAGAGACAGCTAGAAAAGCCCTGGATAGGCGACCGCAAACGGGGTACTTGTGGAAGAGATACGATGGTCACGGAGGAGACGATGTGCGCTATGCCGTATCGTCTGTATTCCCACTTGACTTCCGTTCACATTAATACTAAATGAGAGACATCTGGAGCTACCCGGGCACGTTGCGATCATCAAGGTGAGCTATCCTAATCGGGTAAGGCGGTAGCTGCCCGCAGTCCCCATCATTGCGAAAGCTGTATCAATCCCTCGTCCCTGTCCTGTCATCAAAAACACCTCTCTCCGGCACATGATGAAGACAATGAGGACCAGATGGTTGCGACACAAACAGCTCAGTGTTGGTGGAGCAGCGTCACATGTACATAACATACACCCAACATGTCGTTACTGAGTCACTTTGGACAGCTAATCCAATGCAGTCACAGAAGATACACGGTACATTTCTCGAGTTACCAGGCGAGATACGAAATCAGATTTACTCCATGATCATCTACCCAGAGCTTTCTTCGCTCGTGATCGCAAATTGCACTAAGCCAGAGCATCTCGCCGCTTCTGTGCTGCATCTTTCTACCTTTCGCATCTGTCGCCAGATACGGGCCGAATGTCTCTCCTACATTTGCGCCAATTTCTCCCTCAAGTTCCTTGGCCTGCAGACTGCGGATCTCTTCTTTTGGTGTGCGGGACCAGCCATCTCCGAGATCAAAGCTTTCGTTCTTGTGCAACCCTACACTACTCCGAAAAGCAAACAAAGCGGAGATAGGATGGAGCGCTTCCTGGCTGCGCTAGATAAGATGGACCAGTTGACCGAAGTTGTTTTGGAGGAAACCAGGGAGACTCTGGCGTTGGAAAAGAGTGAAGAGCAGAACGAGTTTACAAGAAGGGTCGAGGCTTTGAGCAAAAGAGGCGTGAAAGTCCAAGTCAGCGTGCGGAACAGATTTGTCATGTAGAAGGAGTATATTTGCGACGTCTCTTTCGTGGAGAGGCTGCTAGAGAGCATAGTGCAGGCGCACACGTCTTGGAGAAGCCGTGTCATTGCTCGCCATTTCCAACAACCTTCGGCTTCTCTCACACACAATGTCGCATCTATATCACTTCACACCATGTGTATGCTGGGCTCACGAAGCATCACTGTACTAGTATCTGTCCCCTCCAAGCCATATTTTGACAGGTCCCACGTGACCACTGTAGCAGTGAGAGCATAAAGTTAGCATTCGCCACAGACATGCTCTCAAGCTGAAGACTTACCTTCCTTAGCTTGGAACCCCATTCTCTCGTACAAAGGCTTGCCCATCGGGGACGACTCCAAGAAGGCAGGTAGTCTCGCGCGGTCCGCTTGCCTGGTACCCCACTCAAGTAACATAGATCCTGCACCTCGGCGGTGGTGGTCTGGGTGCGTTACGAGGATATGCAGAACTGCTGTCCGTCAGCGACACCTTCCGACGTAGTGCGCTGGATACTAGCAGTAAAAGGGCTTCGTTCCCATGTACTCCTTTCTCACTCGACTCAGGAATACCATGAAGTCTAGCAAGCCCTGTCTTCCTTTGGCTTCATCATCTGGCACTGGATACATCTTGCTGGCTTCTCCCTCACTGCGCTCCTGCTCGTTGATGCGCCATTTGGCGCCTGCGATCATCTTGCCATGGGCGTCGGTATCGATGACTTTGAGATATACAACGTCAGGCTCCTCGCGCCAAGACTTGACGTGCTTTTCGATGGACTTTTGGATGTACTCGTCGGTGATGGGATTAGGCGTGAGGAGGGAAGTGATACCACCGCCGTTGGCAAAGGCGGCGATCTGTATAGCGACGAAGGTTTCAAAGTCGGCCGCCGAGGTTATGCGGTGGACCTGAAGAGGCATGTTGCTCTGTATGTTACCAACACTTGGACTCTGAGGCTGCGTCGTAGACAGATATAAAAATGGACCACCACAGACCGGGATATTGCACAGTCGCTAGCACCTTCCTCTTAAAGCGAAGGCGGGGTGGTTGTCGCTTCCTACGGCCAACGCGCAACACCAAAGGGGCACTGCCGCCCTTTATTTCGCCTTGCTACCAGCGTTCAGCCTTTTTCAACACGTCCGAAATGGATACACGTTGCATTGGCCTGACTAGCGCTGACTCACAGCAGTGGCCAAGAATGTTGAGCCATGATCAGTCGGCCCACAGCTACTTCGACGTCGCCGTTCCCTGAGTCCTTGGCCGCCTGGCTGACTGGAAGACTTCACCAAGCTTTTGCGAACCGCGGCATCTTCGCGACGACACATGCGCACCATGTTGTTTCCATCGCCGGTATGTTGTGCTACCGTGAGCTTGGAACGTTGCTTGGCCCGGACTCTGGAACGCACGACGATTCGAGGTGTGGAGGCATGGAACGGGTTCCTGAAACAGCCACAGCATGTGACGCGATGCGACAACCCCCAAAGTCATGAGACATGGTTTTGGCCGAACACCAGGTTGCCGATGACGTTGTGAGATGTCGAGAACTCTAATTTAGCTCAGACATACTTATATGGGATGCGATTGGCCCTGCGCGTTGCCCAAGCGCAAAGTCGGAAGCCTTGAGCGCAATCCAGAGGGGAGTTGACGACAAGCCGCGCGAACGATCGAGCACTAAACCCAGGGACAGGAGACACCGCCACAAATCTCACGGCAGCTTCGCCATATGGAGCTCGTCGCCTCGATCGTTCATGCTACTCATGCACGTCGCTCGTCCACCTCGGCAACAGCTGTCGCAGACCTGGCCAGGTGCGTGGGGATAGCGGCTACTGGCATGTAGCTCTAGCCCCAACCCCGTTCCCGACGAGCTTGAATCGACATGGAAGGGCTCATAGAATATGTCGCACGACACTCTTGACTGCCAGTATGCGTGCTATATGCGGTCTGGCATGACGTTTGATGTGTTTTTGGAAAGCAAGTGAAAACATGACAGCTGAGTATACTACATGTTCAAACTCTTGAAAAGCGGTGGTTAAATAAACAGCGTTAACCATTGCATCTTGCTGGATGATACTATAAAGAGGCTTGTCGTACGCTTCTTGTGGTGAACAGCAGTCGAGACATTCCATATCTTATCTTCCAATACCCGTACTTGTTTAATCCACATTCGCATAATACTTTATAATACCCTAATACTCCTTCCTTGACGGAACAGAGCGAGACACCTCTATCATTATGAAATTCCTTATTTTTTTCCTACCGTCGGTCACACTTGCCGCCCTCGCCTCAATCTCACAAAATGATGTGCAGAGCGGCGGCGGCTGCAAGCCCATGACCGTCCTCTTTGCCCGCGGAACGACTGAGTTGGGCAACATGGGTTCAATTGCTGGACCACCTTTTGCCATCGCTCTTGGCGCGATGATGGGAGGTGCTGGTAACGTCGCTGTTCAGGGCATCCAGTATCCAGCAGATGTGCCTGGTTTCCTTGTTGGTGGAGACAGAGGAGGCAGCCAGCTCATGGCACAGATGGTCGGACAGGTTCGGGCTCAATGCCCGGACACTACACTAGTAATGGCAGGCTACTCGTAAGTAACACACTGCCTTCAATATCTTTCACATGATTTGCAAGTCTAACAAAAGAACTAGACAAGGTGGCCAGCTTGTCCACAATGCTGCCGATATGCTTAGTGCCGAGGACTCGGCATTTGTGTCTAGCGCAGTCATATTCGGTGACCCAAACAACGGCAAACCGGTCGGCAAAGTCGCAGCAGCAAACACTAAAATCATATGCGCACCTGGCGACCTCATCTGTGCAGGCCAGCCTATCATATTGGCACCTCACCTGTCGTATGGTGCTAACGCGGCTCAGGCTGCTCGATTTGTCATGAGCAACATGGCAGCTGGTGGCGCGGCGGCTGGAGCAGCAGCAGGAGCAGGTGCAGGTGCAGGTGCAGGTGCTGGTACTGCTAAGGGGGCTTCCAAGGGGGCCACCCGAGCGGTGCAAGCAAAGTCCTTCATCTCTTAGACCCCCATGTCGGTTTGTAGACTCTTCTTCACATGATGTGCTATATATCTATATCTCCTCTATTGTAGTAGCTGCAGGCCAGCCTAGCTTATATCGTCTAAATAATCATAAGTATATAAATCTTCAAATCCATTTCGCAGTTCCCTTTCTCCAGAGTTACCACACATATGCGTCTTCCTCGATATGTCTGGAGCGCTCGTTCGCAATACGGGTCGGACTTGACTATATCATCGTCTAGAGCCGTCTAATGAACATGCATTCGAACTGCAACGCTCATCGACCGCGGTCGCTTGAACAAAAGATCCAGACATGAAATCTACTCGATGACCTTTGATATCTCGGACAGCTGGCTGCATCTGAGAGAAAAGGAAGAGCAGTCAATCTCGCAACACTGCCCCAGTACCGAGAGGATTTCATTCTACACCGAGACACTGTTCGACAGCAATAGAAACAATGACTCAGGCGAGAGGTATGATCAAGTTCATTCGGAAAAAGTATATCTACCAGGTAGTGTGGTACAAGATGGCCTATTGAGTAAGCAGGTAGGCGATGGCGCTATTTCGGATGCGGGACGCTACAAAGACGGACTGAGGACTATCGAGGACTCACTGTGAAGTCCAGTATAAACATATCAGCATCTCCTAGATTTCACGAGTCGATTCTGATGACCAGGGAAAAGACATTTGAGGACTGCAGAACTTGTCCAAGAAGCTTAAAGGCCAGAAGACTTTGGCCCGATTATTATAAAGTGAGATTACTAGACAAGCTATATACAAAAGCTAGATGCTGTGGTATCATATAACGTCAAAGCTTAGGGAAATGTTTCCCAATCACTCATTATCCTGACTGCTCGTTACTTGCCTCGCAGCTTATCTCTGCTACAGTGCTTACACACTAAGCAGGCAGCAAGCCACAGCATATGAAGCGGCCCCATCCATTCCTCTTTGTACCTTTTGGTTTCTTTCCACTCGTCTCCTCCTCTTCCTCGCCAACAACACGAAGGAACACCTCGTCCAAAGTGGTAGGCGAAACCGAGTAGTATTCCAAGCCTAGCTCTTGGCGATTAGATTCTAGCAACTGGATGAGGCCGGGAATGCCGCCTAGATCAGATGCTGAAGCAGCTGAGGACGAAGTGTTGACTTGATGAACCTCTGCTTCGGTGACCTTGCCATCTTGAGCATTGTCAAGATGCGCGGGCGATGCAGTCGATTCGGGGGAAGCAGCCTTGAGTACTTTGAATCGGAGTTGTCCGTGGCCTCCACCTCGCGAACCCCACTTGTCAAGCTGAACGCCAGGAATCTTCCTCTGAACCCATTGCTTTACGGCCTCCATTTCTTCTTCTGTGGTTTCGGGTGCAGATTTGAGCACGAGCTGTACGACCCAAGCGTCGCCATATTGCTGCCCCAGATCACTGACTGTCCCCAACGCAAGCATTTTGCGCTTCATGATACCCACGCGGGTGGCGAGTTTGTCCGCTTCTTCCATGGAGTGAGTGGTGATCAACAAGGCACGCCCAGGTGCCGCTACACCGAGGAGTGTGCGCCACATGACTCTCTTCGCAGCTGCATCCATACCCGAGGATGGCTCGTCCAACAGTAAAACAGATGGATTGCCCATCAAAGCAATGCCCAGACTGAGCTTCCGCTTGTTACCACCCGAGAGTTTGGACGCGAGACGGTCGTGAAAGCGCCCTAGACTGGTAGCCTGGAGGATCGCATCAACACTGGTCTTTGGGTCGGGGACGCCGCGAGCGCGAGCGTAGAAGTACAGATGCTCCGTTACTGTCATTGAATCCATGGCATCGAATTGCGGACACACACCGAGATGACCTCGTGCGGCTGCACGCTTGCTGATGATGGAGATGTCCTCAATCAGAACGTCACCACCTCCGTTGATGTGTGTCGTAGGATGAATGTCTCCACGGATGAGTGAAATAGTCGAGGACTTTCCGGCACCATTTGGACCAAGAAGGGCGAAAACCTGGCCTTGGGGAATGCCAAAGGTGATGTCGTTCACGGCGTGATTGGAGCCGAACGTTTTCTGTAGATGCAGCGCACGTAGGCTGTCTTTGCTCTGCTCGGCGCGTGCGATTTCGGCAGCGACAGCAGGAGGGATGGTGTCCACATTCTCTTCCGAGTGCTGCTGACGGCTTTTTTCTCGGTTGAGAAACGCCGGTCGGTAGCCCGAGTCCCACCATACGAGAGCGGTGAAAAGCAGGATGATTTGTACAATGAGATACAAAATGGGTCCTCCGTACACAGTCAAGGCGCCAGGATAGCTTGGAATTTGGTTACCATCGCACAGCACGCTGAAAGAGTTGAGAGAGAGCAGTTGCGTCCTCAGCAGGCTTGCTGAGGGCGAGATCAACGAGACAGTCCAGTGGAAGTACTGAATGTAAGAGTCAATCGCGTATGCAGGTGCGTAAGTCAGTATGGCCATGTAACCGATAAAGTATATCAGGTAGAGCGACACCATGCCTCCAGCGGCGAAGGCAAATGCTGCCAGTTGCGACGTAACGACAATGGAGATCAGGTAAGCAAAGAGCGTTGCACACAGGCCGTAGAGAAAGAACACCACGAAGAGGTACCCTGGTGCATACCATGCATCGGAAGCCTGTAACAACGTTAGCCATGCAGATTCGTATATGCCAGTAGGGACTTACTGCTGCAAAGATCCCTGTAGTAACGGCAGAGATCACAAGCACGAACAGGAAATCGAACGCCGTGTATGCCAGCCACAGTGGCACAGCCCGGATACCGTTGCTGTAGTGCAGCGCTCGGACATTCCTAAGCCGCTCTTGTGTCGGATATAGAGCAAATAACGCTGGGTAGACACACATGGCCAGGCCAAAATACAAAATCAGCTGTAGCGTGTCGCCCATATTAGGAGCAAACGGCACGGCGAATTGCTGGTACTGCGTGGAGATGGTGATGTTTGTCAAGATGTTGTCGAGAGTATTCAGTGTGATGAGGCCACCGATGACACCGCCATTAGCCAGGTAAGCCATGAGTGGCGGGCCGTTATCATTTAAAAAGAAGCCACCGGGTGTGATGTTGCGGAAACGCGTGTTGACGTAGTCGTTGAACTCATCGAGTGTGTCCACGAGGTGAAAACTGTCCTCAGCGACTCCTGTTCGTTGAATGATAGTGTCGATAGCAGGGCCGACGGTACTTGCCGGACCGATGGGGATGAGAGGGATGTCGTCCACGTTGGAAAGCGAGAAGATGGTAGGATCATTAGCGCTAGCTCCAGGATCGCATCCCACAGCCTCGTAATCCTTTAGGAACAGTGTGACTAGTCCCGCCGCCACAATCGGAAGGAGTAAAGCGAATATGTAGGGCCAAAAGTTGCGTTTGACAATGGTGATACGCTTCTGTACAAGTATAAGTATCTGCCTGAGTAGACTAGTGCCATGACCTTTGCTCATCTCTAGCGTCTTGTCGGTGTCAGAGTTGTGATCTGAAGGTACGTCTCGATCCTTGTCCGACGCTGGGGTTCCAGCTTGCTCACCGTGGTCAGCGTCCATTAGGTTGTACTCCTTGACTTCCTCGGCATTGGCCAGGAAGACATCCTCTAGTGTCGGGCCAACAATGTCGTAGTTCTTGACGTCGTGTTGTCTCAGGATATCAACAAATTTGGTGGCGGGCAGTGCGTTCTCAAACTGGTACTGAAGCATGCCTTCGGAAGGTGCCGGTTTCTTGATGGCATCCACTGGGGGCTTGACAGGAGCGTCTTTCGGATACGTAACGTGGTATCCAGCACCGACTTCATGTTTAAGCTGAACCGACGTACCCTTCGTTTTGAGGATACCGCGGGAAAGGATGGCAACGTAATCGGCAAGGACATCTGCCTCGTCGAGGAAATGTGTCGTGAGCAAGAAGGTGCGGTCACCCCGCTCAGCGAGTAGAATCTCCCAGATCTTCCTTCGCGAGAGTGGATCCAATCCGGACGACACCTCATCGACACAGCAGACTCTTGAACCGCCAGTGAACATCATGGCCAGCTGAAGCTTGCGCTTTTGACCCCCAGAAAGTGTGCAGGACTGTGCTCTGATCTTGTGCCCCAGGTCGCAAGCGCGGATCAGTTTCTCGATAGTATCTTTGGTATCGTAGGTGCCGGTTGACTTTAATTGGTTAAAGATACGAACGTGTTCGTAGACAGTCAGCTCATCCCACATGACATTTTTCTGGGGGCACAGTCCAAGGCCTCCGGTGCCATCAATCTCGATCGCTCCACTAGTGATGGAGTTGAGACCCGCAATGGCGTCCAGCGTGGTGGACTTGCCACTACCATTGGCACCAAGCAAAACCATAATCTGGCCTTTGCGCGCCTTCATGCTGAAGTCTTGCACGGCAACGACTGTTTCTGGTGGCTTGACGCCGAACTTGGTGAGGACGTTGCTGCGGAACCAACTGGGAGCCCAGTGCTTACAAAAGCTTGTCAGGATGATGTTGTGATCCGGCGAAGACGTTGTAGTCTTCCGGTCGGCCGACACGGTGCCGTAGAGCCAGCGCTCGACAAGCGCGCCCAAAACAGGGTACACAAAAGTTTGTATAATGGCAAATATGCAGAAGACGATACCGGGAGTAGTCCAGATGTGATCCTGGTAGTCAGGCGCGGCTCGGACGAGGTTCATTCCAATGAGCTGTCGCTCAAAACGGGCGACGCAAATGATGAAGAAGACGTAGTTGATGGACGGAAAGAGCAGGCTCAGAACGTATACCACAGCTGTGCTGAAAGGTCCAGCGACTTGGGCGATGATGGCCAGGAGGATCGGGACGATGACGATGGTGATGCCAGATAGTTGAGCTTTGCGGAAGAAAGCTGCGCCGAAGATGGAGAAGCTGGTCAAGGACAGGCCAGCAAGGACGTGGAAGATGATCAATATGGCAGCATTGGACGTTTGGAAAGCCAGCGCCCAAAGGATGGCGCCCATAATGACCCAGCCCGGGAAATAGATGATGTCGAAAGCAATATGCATGGACAGAAGACGGGCAAATTGCGTGTGCCATGGCTTTTTGGCGGGCGACATGGCCTCGACT